TGTTTTTATTAATTTCCCTGAAGTTCACTGGAGCTGTGCTCCCTCCAGCCAAAGTGATCGATGTACAGGAAAGAGTGTTTTTACTTGATTATTTTGCAATCTTTGCTAATACTACTTGTTGCTCTTGTTGCCTCATAAAATGCTTCAAGTTATGGCAAAATATTAATCTTTAACATACATAAAAAGCTAAGCGTTTTGGCCAAGCCAAATTAGTTTTGATTTATAGCAAAAATATAGATGCCAAGGTGGCAAATTAATGATATAAAAACACAACAAGCTCATGATGCAAAACGTGTTGTTATGCAAATTGGTAACTGACTGACTGCATGTCGTGAAAATAAACGTTAGGGAAATATTAATAAAGCTATTAAAATAACTATAATCTACGTTTTTGAGGAGCGCTTTCTAGCGAATCTATTTTTAATGAATAATAATGAGGTGGGCAATGAACATACCCAAGTACTTGATATATATGATGCTCTTTCTCTGTTTAGCTTTTAAATTGCTTCATAAATATCTATTTGTTATGGCAGAACCAAGATAATAACTATCAAGTTACTGATGAGGCCCAGGGCATTCGAGATTCGTTGTGAACTTGGACATGTGTGACATCTCAAAGTGCAATTGTAATTCTTTTGCTTTCTTTTCTCCCTCTCTCCATGTGTGTTATTGTGAAATTGTTCAATAATTTTTCTCCTTTTCTTGGTTCCCGGTCCCAGTTTCCAGTCGTCATCGTCATCCTCCGCCTGTCCCCTTTTCTTGAGCGATGGAATGAGATGCGTTATGCGATATGTGCGCCACTTTGGCTTATGATGGAATTGACACTTCAGTTTTTGTGACACACGCGGGGGAGGAGGAGGAGGCTGGGACGCCCATCACAAACAGACCCAGGCACTGATATATCCAAGAGTGTGGAGTACTATATAACCTCCAGTTGGAGAGCATGCCAGAGATGCCAGATAGCGGAGGCAGACGCACTTCAAATGCATAAAATGGCATTTTCTTTTGTGTGTGCAATGAATGCTTTTCTTTGCTCTTGGCATACGCGGTGGTGGGCGTTATAGTCTTCTCTAGGATGGAGTGGGGATATGGCCAAGTGGAGTCGTTTGTTAGTGCCAACAACACGGGGGGTTGCAATGCCAAAGGTCCATCACTTGGCAACATATTAAAAGCGAGACGATGGAAAAACTCCCCCTTGATCACTAGCAAATATAATTTGATAACAGCCCTCGCAATGGACGTTGTGTAAATTGTTTTGGCATTACGAAAAGTTTGAGTTTTGTATTTCCGCTAATTGCCAGCAGAGAGCAGCAGCGGCAGCCCTGAAGCTTGCCTCGGTTTAATTTCCATTTTATTCGTTTTTCGTTTTCTCGTTTTCCTTTGTGTGTAATCTAAGCTGGAAAAGTACATAGCCTACATAACTGTAAGTTCCCAGGGCCTCACGCTTTGTTGCACCACATTTCCCTTAACTTTAACCCATAAAAACCAAGGCACATGCCCCGCGTCGAGAGATGTAAGAGATACATTTGATATAACACACACACATAAAGCTGGATCTGAATCTGAATCTGTAGGCAAAAGCCGGAAAACAATGGTTTGGAACAGGGCGAAATTGAGAACGAATGTATGAAGAAACTGCCGGCGGATATATAACATATCGTTGTATATTCTTCAGATAGTGTTAGTGCTGTGGGTTGTATGTGGTATGTATCCCGTATCAATCATAATTAGGCATCCAATGGTTGCAAGTTTTAAGAAACACTAATGTTTCTCCTACTCTCAGACATTTATCTCCATGACTTTTAGGTTTTATGTAGGTTCGTGAGAATTCATCATTGTACTCTTTAGATCTTGGGTTTACAGAGAAAGAAAATTAACAGAATTAAATATCAAATATCATAACAAAATTATCTTGGTACATTTAAGAATAAGATACAAACATTAAGTTTAAATCAGTAATTTAAGCAAATCAAGATGAGAAGCCTTAAATTCTTTCTTAATTCATAGAAAACTGTCAACAGAAATACATTCTCATTATAACATTTCAAAATAGGAAATTTAAATCCATTTCAATCAAAAAATCAAGACATGTTTTAAATGTTAATTGCCGGTAAAATTCACACTGCTCTCTCTCACTTTTAAACGTTTTTTCTTAAACAAAGAAATCAAGTCGTTTTAGCTCTTCTTTTATATTTAAATATTATTTTTTTAAGTGCTCTTTATGCAGCTGCACTTGGCTTTATTCGACTTTCGGGGCCCACATCCCCCCAGCACATCAAATGTTTAGTGCTTAATAAAGTGTGTTATGTCTTTCGTGTAATTATTTTTAGCTTTAGTCGCGCTTGATTGCCATGTTACGACGTCGATGAGGAGAGGAGGAAAGGAGGAAAAGCGGGAAATTGGAGGGAGAAAAAGGCATAGCAGGCGTTTTTCTCTAAGCGTGTGTGTGGGCCTCGGAACAACACAAGATCTTAAAGGTTTTTCGGAACCAACCGAAAAAGACCGAAAAAAGAAACACAGGCTCTTAACCATATATAGTATGTAAATGCGAGAGTTCCACCTACAAGGTGCTTTGGGCTTTTTGGGTTTCTATTTGCACAGGTGTTTTTAGCACCTGGGTTCCATGGGTGCTCGCTGATGTGTTTGGGGCATTAGTTATCATCATCAGAAGCCGCCCCCCATTCGGAGGCGTGTCACCGTTAAGTGCTAAAAGGCATTCGACTGCACTTTTCTGTAATAATTAGCACATCATGACTTGTAAATAGAGGCCACCAGAGATGGGGGACAACATGTTCTCAATGGATTCATGTGTGTATGTGCCCTGCTTTAGATACTCTTAGTTCCAGTGACTGCAGGAAAAAGTATCTCAAGGTTTTTGGATTGACATTTTGAAAAATATTTACTAAGTGATATATAAATATATATTATAAACATATATTTGAAGATTCCTTTACAAACATTGTACCCATTGACTCTACGGAAAAGTATCACAAAGTTTCAAGGGACATTTTAAAATATAGTAGATATAACTGCACTATAAATATATATTTTCAAAAAAGGTGAGAAGTTTCTTTAGCAATAATTTATCAATATAAAGAACTCAAGACTTAGTTTAATAGGTTTTAAGAGTTTAAAATATGTTTGCTGCCCTATTTCCCCTATAAAAATCAACTTAACTAACCAAAGATAGCATTAAATAAATATATTTTTAATAAGACATGATTTTACAATCCAAAATAATCGATTTCTTTCTATAACTGATCTCATTTTAATTATTTTGTTCATCAAATTCGACCCAAACGACAACCAATTAGGTCAAAGTTAGGTTTGTTTTCTATAAAATCAAAATTCAAAATGGGGTTATTATTTACTATTTTAAGGTATGCTCTTTTCTGTAAATAAAATCAAAAATTGGGTTAATAATTACTACTATGCTCTATGACTCAGCTAAAGAATTCCCCCAGAGTCACTCTCAAAAGACAAATTGCTCCCCATAACTTTTTAAAGTTTTCTCGATGATTTCCCATTTTCCTAGTAGACGAAACTTTAATAGTTTTTTTTTCTTTTTGGCGGAAACTTTCATTGCTTTTCTCATGGCGATTTGCTTTTCCCACGAAAATAATTTGGCAGATGACTTTTTGATTGCTCCGACTGTTAATTTTCGGAGATGTAATGACCGCCGGGCTAAACTCAGCTCGAACTTCGATTTGGAATCACAGCCATTGGAGCATAATTCAATTTTCGCTTTCGGCCAAACGAAACCGGTCCCAGATGGCAGCCGCCATCAGCAATCAGCTAATAATAAAGATTTTAAACTAATTGGCTCATTTAACGCAACGAAAAAAAAAAACTAAAAGCAAAATCATTATAATAATGACGACGATGACTGATGACTGAATAGATCTCGGAGTTTGCTCAGGCAAAATCATGGCCTTCAGAGAGCTGGAGAGCAGTGAGTCGTGGGGGATTGTAAGTCGCCAGAAAAATTAATTATACAAAAGTAAGTTTTGCCATTGCAACGTTCCCTTTTTTTTGTGTATATTTATTTTCCTTTGGTACGCGATACCCTCCCAGTTTTGTCAGCGATTTTTGCAAATTGAAAAGGCAACTCCCTCACGACTTGGGTCCCCCACCCTTTGGGCGACCAATGACCTTTATCGCGAAAGTCATTAACGAAGGAATTGGGGCATGGCCAAGGCGAGGAATGAGGAAGGAGTCTCCAGGTCCAAGGAGCAAGCAAGACGAATAAGAAAGGACAGCATTGATAAAGTGGAAGGAAACACATAAAAGCTGCTGCTGCTGGACATAATCGTCGCCGCGGGGGCAAAGAGGGGGTGGTTTACACAGAGAGAAAAAAGATTTGAGTATAAATTGCAAAAAAGGAGTGTTTCAAGATTAAGTTTTTAAGATTTGTGCGATTTTCAGTGAGATATAAAAGCTTGTAAGGTATCATAACAAAGTAAAATAATTTATATAAAAATTAAATTACAGCTAATAAATAAATATATTTTAGCTGTTATGTACTAGAGCTTAAAAACATTGATGTTTGTTAATATAAAATCAATACCTTTACATTTGATAATATTGAAAATATAAATTCTTGTTTAGCTTTTTTAAATCTTCTTTACATTAAGTAGTTCTATCATCTTAACCTTTTCATTATAAAGTTTAAAATTAAGTTACCTTTATTGATATATTTCGGTCAATAAACGGGGGTGTTTTTGGTAAACTAAATATTAGCTAATTATCTATAAATTCAGTGATATTAAATAAACAGAACATACATCATTAACGAATAAAACTTATTTATTCATTGATAAAGATATACAAACATTCATTAGACTCTTAAAACCATACCCATAGTCGATAGATAAGTGACTAAATTCCAAGTAAAATACCTTTTATATTTAAAATTAACGTTAAATAATGATATATCCAAGTTCTTAGCTTTATAGACATCTTATTCTAGGTGTAGGAGGGAGTTTTTCTTGGTGACTTACTTGCGTGCCAGTCGCTTCCTAATTCCGGCAAACATTTTCGGTGCTCCTTTTGCTGCTCGCCTTTATCCGTTTTTATGTCCCGTACTAATGTTGTATTGTAAATTAAATTGCCGATTTCCGGAGGATTTCCTCACACTCTCTCTCCCTCGCTCTCTCTCTCTCTCTGTGCTTTTTTCCCCTATCGCAAAAGGGCCAACGAAATACCGGCGACACTTAAAATTAATTAAAAAAACAGGGAAAAGCGCAAACGCAATTGTCGCGTAGCTTCAGCTTCATGTACTTGTGCTTGTTGGTTTTTTGCCTGTTTTTTCTGTTCATTTGGTGAGTTGTTGTAACTGTTGTTGTAAATGTTGTTGAAGATTTTCTTGTTGTTGTTGTGATTGGCAGCTTTTGAACGCCTCATTGCAAGCAAAGAAACAAACAAACAAGTCAGCTAACAAACAAATGTTAAAAACAGAAACCGAAATGAAAATCAATTAGCCTAAGTAGGCAGCTGCAACTGTTTGCCGAAGATTTATTTTTCTATATATATATATGTATATATTGCGTTTGGCCTTTTACGTTATTCGATGTTGGGTTTATTTTTTATTTTTATTCGAACGGATTGTGCAATCCGTAATTCGACGGAATCAATAATCCTCAGCTGCGATCAAGCATTTCCACACACGCACCAGCACACACTTTTCAAAACACTTTTCCCAGAGCTCCACGAAATACGAAATATGGATGGATTTTCTTCATATTTTCATTCACTTGGCCATGTTGACAGTCTCATCGGTTTGCTTTTTGGGGGAGCTGAAACGAGCCAAGGAGAAATTCACACATTATTTTCAAATTCATTTTCGGTTTTTGGTATCGAAATAAGAGAGGGGAGCGATTTATATAATTGACGTGTCGAGTGACAAATTCAAAGCATTTGCTGCCCAACAAGTCGCATCGAATTGGATTTTTTCAGGGTTCGGCTTACGAGAAGTTACAGCATCAGCAGAAATGTGTCGTAATTGAGAAAATAATAATGCACTTATTGGACATGCCATAAAGATCCCTCAAAAAATGCATTAAAATGGGTAATTTATGAGCTATTTAGGGGACAGCAAATGATGGCAGGGTCACGTACGTTATTCTTGAAGGGGGAACTTGTTGAATTTCAGTTTAAGTTTATAGTTTAATATTAAAATAAGTTGTATTGATATATTCCTTATTTTCTTGTATTTAAAAAGAGATTTTAAACATTTTAAATTGAATAAGAGAAGTTAATGCCAGCGGATTATCTCTTTCATTTATTAACAATCAATTATGTAATGAATTATACATAAATAAATATGTAATTACCATTAAATACGACAAAGTGTTTGTAAATACAATCTCCAAATCAATATTTTCTTCATTTACATACAAATCAACACCTTTGTCTAGTTGCTAAAAATAAATTCCATTAACATGCTAACAATTACTTGCCCGAGAAACTAAATACTTTAACAAATAGACCGTATTTTTTTGCGAGCTGGCCAACTTTTAATGATGTTTTCGAGCCTAATGGGATTTCTAATTAAATGCCGTGAAAACTTCCTTAAACCATTTCGACTCGAAGACAAAAGGGCCTACAAGGTGCTTGGGCACTTAGTGGTCCAACCCGCAGCCGCAAAGATTTATGGTCTGTAAATTTGATGGAAGCGAACGAAATTTGCAGAAGCCTCTGCGGGCCAAAGGAGCATGGGAATGGGAATGGAAATGGGGACCCACTGATAAGGTGCTCCCTGCGATCTCCGCCGGAACCGAGAGCACAACACAGGGGCCCATCAATCATGGCCTCAATCTGTGTGTGACCCCCCGTCCTATGCTTTTTTGGCCACAATGCCAGAACGGATGCAGATGTAATTACGGAACTGTTACTCTTAGGGTGCCTCTGTCTCTCTTTTGCTTTCGCTGTGGCGGTGCTAATGGCTTGTATTTGGTTACAGTTCTCGGCTTTTCGGGCCGTGCACTTGGCTCACATACGACATACAGCACAGGAGCATGGCGGCAGCAACAGATAGAGATACTTTTACGAGTGCTTGCTGGCCAAGCGTGACAAAGAACACGTTTTTTCTTCTGTAGTGCCTGTATTTTCCATGTTTTCTTGCTGTTTTTCCAAAACTACCAACATTTTCTGCCGCCAGTGAGAGCGTGAAAGAAGCGAAACGCACAAACTTGAAGCTTCTCACGCACGAGGCGGCGGCCTCTGTATCTGTATCTGTATCCCGTATCTGGGCCTGTGTATCTGCACCGCACGGAGGATGGATATGGAGCAGCGGCGTACTGTATCTATTGAATTGCAACACGTAAAACCCGTGCATATTTCCCCCTGGTTCCTGTCTCTCCAGAACACTGAGAATAATTGGGATTCGTCTGGGTTCTATATGCTTTTATCTAATAGATACTGGGTTTATGTTTTCCAAGGCCTCATAGAAAATATATTATATATGAACAATTAATGCCTCATTTGTTTTATAAATACATTCTAATGGGCCGATAAAGCCCGATAAGATATAGATATTGTCCTACTTTTGGCAAGTATCTTGAAAGAGTGATTGATATAAATGGAATTTGAATAGAAAACAAACATGGATTTATATATAAAATTATATGCGGTACTGATTTTTTTTCTGCCTGAGATGGTTATATATGATTTATAAGGTCGGACTCCTTCACTGACTAAAATTTAATAACCTCTGCAAGGGTATAAAGTATCTACAAGCTTATAAATCAATGTAAACTAATTATAAAATCGTATTTAATTGAAACAGTAAAGTTTTTAAAGTATCTTATGAACTTCTTTTGTACAAAAATTCAACTAGACTTGATAATATAAAGTTAATTTCAGTGTGCAGCCGCCCTTGTTATGCTTCATGTTCCGCATTTGGATGTGCCGCTATTTCGGGTCGTTCCCCCTTTTTACGCTTTTCCCGCCTATTCCCGCTTTTCCCACTGTCCCGCTTTTCCTCACCCCTCCCCCTCTGCTGCCTTTTCCCGGCTTCCCATTTTCCCCTGAATGAACAACGGAACGGAAACCTGCAGCATACGATACGCCTCAGCGAGCGTGCAATTACCACCGCAAATGAGTGCTTCTGGATCCGAATCCAAATCGCAATACGAATCCCTTCGCCATTCTCCATTATCCATTCTCAGCCATCAAAAATATCACAAGTTTCCCAAACACAAAACACACCAAAAGTAGTGCAATCTTGAGCGGCAAGTGGAACTCTTCTGATTTATGGCCCATTGTATCCGACAGATACAAAACGCTTTTACCAACAACACTCGAGGCCCACAAGTGGGCACTGCAACTGCTGGTGCAGTTCCTCCTCCCCTGATCCTCTCCAGCTCTCCAGACCCCGTTCACTGATTACTTTGCACTCTTCACAGCAAGTGAAATCCAAGACTCAACGCCCACAGATTGAAACACAAAGAGTTGCTCACATTTCTAGGGGGGATTTTTCGGAGTGTTGAGGGAGGGGGGGGGGTCTAAGAGGAGTGTCACCCACATGCCAACGCTATCTTCCAGATTAGAGAACAATTCCCCAGTTCAACTGGCCAAGGAATTCGCCTATATCGCCATTGTTAAAGCAATGAAAGATGATTTCTTAATAGAACTAATTTGAGTTGGCCTAAGGCGACCGCAGTTTAATGAATGCACAGCGACAAAAAAAGGGAGATATAAACATTCAAATATAAATAGATTGTGTAAAAGATAAATATATAAATAATACAATTAAGCAAACCAAATCAAGTCAAGAAGATATATCTTGCTTAAGTGACCCCATTAAGCTTAAGTTTGATGTTGTAGAAATACTATCTTGAATCATGTTGACACATATAAACCCCATTTCGATATGAAAATATATACAAGAATTGACCAAGTTTTCTTTTTTTTGTTTTTCCACTTGCACAGATGAAAAACGAGGCAAGAAAATGCGACGTTCAAATGTGCGAAATAAAAATTTCATAACGTGAAATTAGCGCACATAACTCGAATGCAAATGCAATTTGGGCACGTCGTGGCACAGAGGCGGGTGTACAGAGGGGGATGTACAGAGGGGGGTGTACAGAGGGGGGTACAGGGACAGGATCAGGAAGCCGGAGCAAAAGGGGAACCCCCAACCGATGACGAGTCACTGATGGAGATGGCTGGCTGAGTTCGGTTCGCGTTGCTTGGCTGCCCATAAACGAAGCAGCAGCTGCATCGCAAAAAACTCCTTTTTCTTCCCCCCGCTACGCCTTTGTGAAAATATCTTGAGTAACGGGACTTATAATTAAACATAAAACCCCGGCGGATCCGCAGACTCAGCGACTACACACCACAAAAGTCCATTTATGCCAATAAGCAAAAGATGGCGCAAAATAAAAACATAAGAAGCTTCGCAGAATGCGTCTCCTTTCGGCGGTTTTTATTTATTTATTTTTTGCTTTTGCTGACAGCAAATGTGTCGCCAAGTTGGCTACCTCACTGGTCTCTTTCCCCCTGTCTCTAAAAAGATATCGGGAAATGAGAGCGCAAAATAAACAAATCATAAATCTGTGAAAAATATGTTTTATGGCTATGTGCATGACCGCGACCACCCAAAAAAAATATGCCTGATCCGTGGGCCCAATAACGAAAACCACAAAATTCACGCTCTTGTGTATCCCGCAGATGCATAGATACAAACGTACGTATAGATACTTCTGTGCGTTGTCATCATTTTGCAGACTAGATTTTTATGCGTTTACCATTTGCAAAATGCAAATGTTGTCTATCTTTCTTTCTTTTTTTTTGTGGCAGCTCACAGTTGTCCAATTAGAGTGAAATGGTTGTGTAAATAATGCCCACTCCACTTGTTTGTTTGTTTTTCGCCAGTTTGATGGTTAATCGAGTGAAATGCAATCAAATTTACCTACACACTGGCACAGCTGACAAGTAAAGTTCTCCCCTGGCCCATAATAAATGCCAATAAAAGTTCACATTTAACCCATAAAACTTCGATTGGGGAATTGTTACCTGGTGCCCCCCTCTCTGGCTTCAGCTTTCAGCTCAATTTCAACTTTTTATGGAAGTGAAGCCGGAGCTACGTGCAAAAACAACTACGGATATCCTCTCGATGACAGGTGTAAGAGCGGGAAGTACAGGTGTGTGTTCGAAGCTCTTGACGAAGGAGGGGGCCAAAAACTACATCAAGCTTAGAATCCAATTAAAATTCTGTATTTGCCAATCTGCTTGTGATTAGAGTGGCGTTATTGATGGGAAATACTTGTAAATAATGTTTAATTGCTTAGTTCAACAGGAAAAATGAAGTGAAATGAATGCTTTCTACTCTTTAATCTATATATAATACTATGTATTTGAATAGAAAAATATCCAGAGATAAATGTTTAATTCCATTAGGTTGCTTTGTAGGTACCTTTAAAGTACATTTCATTAATTTTTAGTTGTTTTTCGCAAAGGCTTTCCCATTATTTCTATTAAAAATCCTAGTCTCATTGGCCCAACTCTTAAATATATATATATTTTATGTCCATTTGTGTCCCCATTCATAGAATATACAAAAAAATACACTTTGTATCCTCACATTTTACGAGTCTATCGAACCCTGCTATCTCAACCGAAGCCCACCGCTGCTGCTCCCAATAGATTTATTGCCTGGCAAGGCACTACATATAGGTACATATATCTATATGTCTGCTCACTACCTATGTATATTTCCTCTGTCAGGTCCAATCAATTGATGGAAAATTGTTCTAGTCTGAGCCAAAAGTCTCAATTGTAAAACGGTGTAGAAATGCAAAGCACATTTATGCGCGGTAGGCATTTTGTGAGCTTCCTTCTTCTTATGACTTGTTAGAAACTAAACTATATACTATTCCATACTCTACTATATACATGGAGAGGGTATCAACCACCCACTGACCCCGTTGTTGTAAATCTCTGGCTGGCTTTATCTTGAGCTCTGAGGCTATATAGAAATAAACTGCGGCAGTCAGCAGAAACTATGCCAAGGCAAAGAATTCCGCCAGCTTTCTTGGCTCTGTTGTATTTTTTTCGGGTGTGTGGGGTCGCTTTCCGAGTGTATTATTATATTCATGGATTCTGGCCAGATTAGCCAGAGATAAAGGCAGGGGAAGCAGACTGCCAAAGACTGTCATGATTCCAATGCGGAAGCCCCATTATTTGCTTGGGTAATTAGCGTAAATTGGAGTAACATAAGCTGGCTGAAACAGCTTCGGGTGAATGGTGGGCACAAAGTAATTGTATTAAGTAGCAAATTGAATAATGAAATGAAATAACCAATTAAAGAGCCACAGGAAGTGGCCAAAACAAAACGAAACCGAGCTGAGAACCGCAAACAAGCTCTCAAATGACAACATCATTGAGTAAAAACATATTTAAATAGTAGAGTATAGAGTAAGCCAAGTTACCGGTTTTTTTTTTTTTGGGTCTTAGCAGGCGACAAAAGTTCTGTTTGCCAAATATTGAGCCAAGAAGCTGAAAGCAAAAGGCAAAAGCGCCGATCCAAGCCAAGTTAAGTTAAAGGTGTTGCCAAGCCAAGTAGGATGTGGCCACCGATGTTGTGATGTGTTATGTTTGTGTTATGAATTTCTGAATCAGAACCAGTTCGGCAAGTTGCTCGCTAACGCAGCACAAAATAAAAACACTATGGGACGGGGCAAACAAAGGCTTAGATACAAATGCAAAGATACATATCCGACAGACGCAGACACAGTCACAGATACAGATACAGATACAGACGAGACAACAGCGTGTTGATTTCAATTGTTGACCGTAAAATGGTCTCGAGAAAAAGGTGTCAAAACCAACCTTGCCGCCGTTTTATGCCTGAAATTCATATAAAACTTAAATTTAAATAAAGAGAAATACCATAAAACGAATCACCATAAAATGCGAAACGTGCCCCAAACTAAGCTTATGAAAGACCTGGGAAAAATATCAGGCAGAAAAGCAGACGGTGGTGGTGGTGGGGCAAAAAAATTAGTGCGTGCCTGCAAATGGTTTGCCATGAGATTGTGCCCCATGGAATTGCAAAGAGTCAACAACTACAGTGGCTACACAGGGCTACAGTGTTCCCTCCCATATCTCCGTCACATCACTGCCGGTGCTGCCTCAAGGAATTTATGATATGAGCCCAAATGAGATATGGTTATGGCTGATGTGTTTGCGTTGTCAACTCAACTCGAAGGCCCAAATAGGCAGACAGTTAGTCGGCCAGAGAGACTGAAGTTGGGTAGTTAAGATATGCCACTGGGATAGCGCCACCACCACCTACGGGGAACCACCTCCTCCTGGCCCCCAATCCGTACGTATCCCGTATGCGAATGCGTATGCAAATGCCAGAGCTTATGTGGAGCAGGAGCAGGGAACCCTGGCTGTGGGTTTATTTATTTGCCAGCGACACGAGAAGTCAGTCCTGAGCCACTCACACCCCCCAATGTGTTTTTTAGAAACCTATTTTTTTGCTCGGGTTTTTGTTGATTTCCTGTGGTTCTGTTGACAGCCGAAATTTTTGTGGTAATGCCTTCCTTTTTGCTATATGTTTGTACATTCATTCGAGTTGAGCGTAAGCCGGTGGCTCCATTTAATCCATTTAATCCATTTTGCCTGTCCACTGCTGAGTTTGTGCTTTTCATTCACATTCATTACGGAAATTAAATAATTCGGAAGGAAGACCACTTCTCTTTCTTTGATTGTGAGTTTATTTAATATGCAAATTAAATAACTAAAAAGATGCTCTATGGTTAGTTGTAGAGCTTAAGTCAATTTGGATTAGACATGGAAATAAATGTACTATTTATTTATTTAACTAAAGATTTGAAGAAATATGTATTTTTAGGTTTTAACTGACTAATTGTAATTGCTTAAGTATCTAGGTTTATAATTAAACAGACTTATTCAGGGACATAAAATATGCAAATAAAAACAGAAACATTGCTATTCAGATACATATTTTACCTCTTTCTGCGTTCACTTACGGAATAGGTAATTCTTGAATATTAAAATATTCCCTTTTTCATTTCCCTTTTTTCAGACTTCAGTTAAGAGCATCTTTTGTGGTCTCTAAACTCATGTAAACTCATTAAGTGACACCTGTTCTTATTTAATTTGAGTTTAGACTCCTGTAATCCTTTCCCTTGGCCAGTGTTTTTGGTGTCTTCATTCATTATGCAAATCAAATAATATTTTACATGTGTAGCTATGTTTTCTAGGGGAAAAAACACGCACACCTTTTCGGACGCAGGCGCACCTCTCTGCTTCCGTATCCGGTTTTTTATTTCATTTGTTTTTTTGTATTTTTTGGCGGCAGCACGTGCGTGAAAATTGCGCCAGTCTGATGAGGAGGGTTAGAAAAGGGTGTGAGTAAAGCTAAACCTAAAGCCATTATGATTGTTGTGGCAACAGCCGTAATTAAAATGCTAGAAATTACAGGCCCAGGCCCACGTCTACGGTGTCGCCGTTTTTGTGCAAAGTTTTCTTTATGGCAATCGGCGCTAAGGTTGCATAATTTCATGGCTGAAGAAGAGTTCTCCTCTCCACCCACTTGGAGGTTTTTTTAAGCGAATGCTTGTGCAATGAACCATCAGCATTTCGCTGACTGCTGGTGGAATTCATTAATAATTTCCAGTGAACAAATGCGAACCTAATCTTATCAGAAATGCGTTTTCCAGAGGGGGGCTGATTCGTTTCGTTTCGATTCAATTCCTCCCATCTCCCATTACTCATTGAGCCATTACGATTGCGAAATGGCCGTGGAATCGAAGTCGGTGGCAATTTCAGCTACCAAAGCAAACCATTCCCAGTTCCACTTTCATTCCCATTGGGATTATTAATTGAATCAATGACAAACCGAAATTCAATAAACAATAACCAGGGGTGCTCTTATCGATGGGGCGCCATGTGGCGTATGCGCAATATTATTACGCATACGCCCGATCCAACAAAGTTGTGCAAGGCGAGGGGAAAGGGAAATGGAAATGGAAATGGAAACTGAAGCCAAAGCTGATTTCCTTTCCGCAAGAAGTCCAAAGTAACATGCAATATAACTTGGCAATCGGTATCGTTATCGCCATGGTTATCAGTCCAGTTCAGAGTGAGAGATAGTCATCGATGACACTGATAATTGACGGAATCATTGAGCAATTGACAAGTTCATTTTAGGCACTAAGCAAATAAAAACACACAACAAAACTCTTCTGGCGGCGCCTACAGCTGCTCAAATTAACATATTTGTAGTCGACTTTGGAGGGAAAAGTGGCATATGCCACCAGGGAGATAATTACAGTCAAGCCTCCCCCGAGTGGAATCACTCTCTTGTCTCGTTAAAGATTATGGGTGGTTTATGTTACAGGGAAATAATAATCATTCATGTATTATTATTTATTGTTATTTTAAATGTTTTCAGAGCGAGTCAAGAACAGAATCTAAAAAAGTGCTATTAGAGCTGTGGTTGATTTATTATTTGTTTTACAAAGTAAAGTTTTTGCTCCTTAAAAACATAACTTACAGGTTGTTATTTTGTGTGAGACTCAAGGAAATCATTTAGTGCAAGTGCTAATTACAAACATAAGTTAAGTTCTAGATAAATAAGAGCATTTTTGTGATGAAAAAAAAAGAACTAAACATAACTATCTAGTTTTTACAAGATTGGAGCTCATTTTTAAATTATGAACATTTTTAAACATTTTATTTGAATAGCTTACAAAAATAGTGATTAGAAAAGTGCAGCACTTTATTTGGTAAACAAATGCTTTGGCTATAAATTTTAATTTTTAAACTACGGAAAGGCAAAATATTAAGTAATTTGTATCCAAAGCAAAACATACAACAATTTTTGAGCAGAAAACATAAATGTCAGTAGGTTCTTAGTAGTTTTTGAAATAGCTTTTTGCTATTTTATTTTATATTTGATATATTTATAATTATAACTTGGTTTAATTATATTATCAAGATCATTTTAGAGTTTTATTCTTAGAATTTCGACTGTATTGGAAGTGAAAACTAGCGATGGGGGAATACTTCCAGAGATAATTATATGTAAATGGGTTTTTGTCGCCTGTTGTCTTATCGGCGGTTCAAAGGGTGGAACTCATTAAGTCTGACCGAAAGTCATTGAACTTGGGCGATAGAGAAACGGAACTCACTCTTGTTCTTCCGCTGGGCGCTTCTTCTGGCCCGTGGCTCCTGTCTCCTTAGTCCTGCTCCGGTTTTCCAATTTTCCACCGGAAAATCTCGACTCGGTGTGCACTTTTTCGTACGCCTTTTGGGCCTGGACCAAAAAAAAAGATCTCAAAAACTAACACACAAACTTGAAGCGGGCAGCAGGTGTGTGTGGGTTTGTTTTTGCTTTGGCTTCTGCCCCTGCCTCTGCCTCTGCTTTGTTTGTTGTTTGTCGTTGCGTTCGCTTTTGTTTGTTTTGCAGTCTGCCGTCTGCCGTTTGCCTTTGCCTTTGCCTTTCGCTGCTGCACTTTTCTGCACTCTTTTTGCAGCTGTCAACGCACAAAACGCGCTAAATTATGCCGCACACATGCTCGTATTTATATTTTTTCCCTGCCGCACACACCTCGCATATCTCGCACACTCACAACACACTCCAGCTCCAGCTCCAGCGCATTCGAAAACAACAACAGACCACGAAAGCCGGGCGCTATGGACGCTACACAGACGCTCTAGCAAACCGAACGCGGCGAAGTCTCGTTATAAACTGAGGGAAACTCGAAGTTGTGCGCCGATATAGCAGAGTATATACTAGACAGAATGTGAGTGTAGTATAAGGCGCACTCGCACAGGGGCAGTGCGCGTCGTTCGCATAAGTTCGCTATACTGATTGTTGGAATATTTTCGATTTTTAATTAACAATTTGTATTTTTGTTAATATTTTGATCATTCATTTTGTAATTGACTCCGAATAAAATGAAATTTTACTAGTTTCTTACTTAAATTTATGAAAAAAGAAATTCTTCAATACATATGTAGTTGGTTACGAATATTAATCAAATTCTTTTAATATCAGGTTATTCAAATTACTGGGTATTAATTTTATTCAGAAGCTTGTAATTTTTTCAAAATTTTTAAAATTTTATAAGGGGTTTCAGCGTTAAATTTGTCAAAAATTTTAAACAATTTTATTAATGCTTTTTTGCCTTAGTTATGAATTTTTAAAATTTTTATTTTCGCATATTTTCATATAAATATTTTGATTCAAACTATAAAGTTGTGTGCAAAAGTTTGGTAAATTTATAAATTTAATTTACCTACTTTTTAAATTATTTGTAATAATTACTTACAAATTTAAAAATATAAATTAAATGTTATTATAAAATGAAAATTAAATAAAATACATTTTTAAATAGTTATATTAAACTACTACTACTTTAGTTTAAATTAAATAATTGTGTGGTAAATATTTAGAAGACAGAAGTTTACTCTTATACCTCTCTCTGTTAAACCCCATACTCTTATACTGTTAGCTCCGCTTATACAGCCCTCATAACAGTGCCTGAATTCGCCGCATTTGGCAACAGCTGATTGCAGCAACAGAGGCAAGTTGCCGGCTGAGAGAGAGAGTGAGAGCGTTAGAAATGCATATGCCGTAGCAGAGTGACGGCGTATAAGACGGCAGCTGTGGCCAAAAAGCAATAACGTTTTAGCCAAGTTTAATAACCCTACAGCTCATTAGCAGGCTACAAAACGAAGAAGAATTCTAGCCCCTGTTTGTGCAATATATAGTCTCCCCCTCTCTTTGTCCTCATCGTGTTCTTCCTCATTTCTTCCCCCCGAGCATTATTAAATCATTTAGCCAAAAACTTATTCAAAATTCACAATAGCGACATGCTCAAATGCACACAATTCGTGGCTAACAAAAAACGGGGAATTGGTGGTTGGTAAAGGGGGAGTGGGGGTGAGTGGGAGGCGTTTGCAGGACCCTTGCATTGTTGTTAACAATCCATCATTATCGCATAGACTTCCGGCGAAGAAGGAAACGCGGGGAGTGGCAACATTGCATTACACTTTTGTGGCTGCACTTGGAGAAAATTGGGACAAGTTTTGGTAAAAGTAAGGGTAAAAGATGATAATTTAAAAAACATACAATAGTATTTCCTAAGATCCATGCTTATTGAAGAAACTTAGCTCAGTTTATAATTAAAATGCAATATTAAAAGGCTCAAGAATACACAAAAAATGTTAAATAAATAATAAACAAAAAAATTAAACTGGTCCAGCCATTTTTTTAATTTTTCAAAGTATACAAAGTTGTTATATTTAAAACATATTAATCTTATAGGGTTCTATGTATTTTTGGTAAATTAATAAAAGAAATGATATTCCCTGTCTAGCAAGACCTTTTCTAATTCAATATTTGTACAATTCGAATCATGTTTTAATGAAAATAGTTTGAGATTATAGTATAAATCACAGGAAAGCCTTATAAATTTAAGTTTAAAAATATATTTTGCCCTGAAATTTCTGTAAAATAAAGATAAACCTTAAACAAAATGCATATTTTGCTCACTGTTGCTTTAGTATTTTAGTCTGGCGCTCTCCTTGGATCGTCCTTCTTGGTTTTGCAACGCCCAGGACTTGCACACACACACACACATACACTTATATTTTACACTCGGCACAACCAGACACACAAATTGCCGGGTTGTCCTCAGAGTGTGTGTGTGAGTGTGTGTGTTTGGGTGCACGTGTCTGGCAGCCTTCGCTGGGGATTACGGGTTCGAGGCGCGTCGCGTCGCTCCTCGTAGTCGTTCAGTGAAAGTGAGCCGCCAGCAGGATCCAGCAGGACTCAGTCAGTCAGTTGGTCGTCGTCTGGTCTGGCCGGCACCAAACCCTGCAGGAATCCAGCATAGGTCCTGCCCCTCCTCCTGAAAATGTTGCATTTGCCAGCAGTTTTCTATAATTTTGTGTGTTGTGCTTGTTGCCCTTTCTTTTTGGGGGTGGCTTAGCGGCTTTCTATTTTATTTTTTTGTGGCGGCTGCGGTTTATGCAAATTAGCAAAGTTAACATTTGCCAAATTGTCGAAAAATTTCATTTTGGCCAACGCGAATCCTTTGAAAAGGTTTGTTTATTTGCCTTGGCAGCGCACAGATAAAATATAGCCATATCAGTTGGCATAATGTGATTTATTGTGTTTTAATTCTAATTAAAGTAATCCCTTTTATTTTATATTAAGATTAATTAAATTATACTTTATCATAATGCATTATTCAATCGATTTAACTTGAGACTTGTATGAACTCATTAGAACTCTTCCTATGATACACTTAATGTTTATATATCCCAAAATATAATTCCAATAATTTTTGGAATTATTTCCCCTCATATAAGGCTTTGGATATTATAGAAATCCACAAGTGAAAAGAGCTAAGCATACGGAAATGGGAAATGCAATGCAAAATATGGTGAAAAGCCAAGAAGAGAGCTGTAAAATCAAAGCATTTTCAGATTCTTTTGATCAGCAATGTGTTAGGATATAGACGTATAGCCCCTACGAGTTGGGTTCCTTCTCCTTCCCTTACTCCCAGTTCCTCCGTGAGTTTTCCCCTCTATATTTTCCTGACTTTATTAAGGCAGATCTTCGGTTGTCACCCGGCCAGAAGTGACAGAATGCACCTGCACAAGAGACTTTTTTCCGAGGGAAAACCGTGAAGAAAAGCCATGACTGAGGAGGAGCTATCTATCATAATTAGATTTCGTTCTGTGCTGAAATGTCGTAACGGGAACGAGATGCGTGCGCATAAATTAAGTGCGGACCGCATTTCCCTCCCACAGACACAGCAGCAAATAGAGCGCCTAATAGGATTTTATTTAATTTCCGTCGCCCAAGGATTTTGCTAATGAGTTTTTTAACCTGCCCCGAGGAGGATGCGGAGGAGGAGGAGGAGGAGGAGGAGCAGGATAAGCTGCCCAGCGGAGTCGTAGATGGGGGTCAAACTGTGCCCAAGTGAGCCATCTGCATATTTGAATAGGAATGGAGTCTTTGGCCGGAATCAGGTGGAGTCACTTTTGGGAGCAGAGCATAAACACCCGGAGATGACGGCGACTTCTGTTTGATAAACATACACACAGTTCACTGAAAGGATGTTGGCTTCGTCCTTTGTCTGTTTTGCTAGGATACAGTCACTGTCCTTTTGTGGGAGAAGCTGCTGCTAGGGATTTTCTTTGTGTCTGAACCGCCTCAAACTCTAAGCGAAGGGGGAAAAACAATAGATTCAGCCAAGTGAATTGCCCTGGGAACGCACTTTTGCTCTGCATTTTTCGGTGTGAAATTTATGCTGCACTTGGCTAATTTAATGCCATTTTATTTTTCCATTTTTAGTGCTTTTCCGCAACCATAACAAGTGGAAAGGGGGTGCGATTAACTGCAAGTGCAATTGATATGATTTGTGTGGTGCGATTTGCATAAATTAGCATACAATGCGTGGCCAGGCACTTAACCATAATTAGATGTACTATGCCACCGTTTGTTCAGGTAATTAAATGCATTCCCAGCCAAGAAATTTTCCCACTTAAAAAACATATACAATGTGTTGCGAAACTGTAAGAAATAATCAAACAAGGCAAAGAAAATAGTAATTATCCAGCAATTAAACATGAAAAAGGGTTGTCTGATATGGATTTAATAAGCTGGGATTGCGATAAATAACTAAAAACAGACTTTGCATTAACTGGTTAGAGGGAAAAATGATGGCCATTTTAGAGTTATTTTCATTAAATAGGGATTATTATTCAATAATATTCATTGATAATTCAATTGCAACTATATATTCATGCATCCAATCAATACATTTATTGAATCACGTTCCATTTCTATGCACTAAATACACACACATTTCTAGTATCCATTTCAATAAATTTTCCTTTGATACAAACTGAATTAAATTTCAATTGAGTGTATATAAAAACCAATCCTAGCAAAATACAACGTTCAATTACTAAAAAAACATTATTCAATGGGCATCGGATTAAATCAAATAAATGGCCCCTAACAAGCCACAAACTTTTTGCGGCTGAAAACATACACATTTCTGCCCCAAAACTAAACAGTTAACGTAACTGGCTTTTAAGTCTCGTCTGGATGTGATGTTATTGTTGTTCCGGAAAAAGAGTTCTCCATCCCATTCCAGGATAACTGCGCAGTAAATTGAATCAGTGCCCAGGCACTCCACGCAAATGGTGAATCCTTTCGCTCATATTTGAATATTTTACATTCTTCCGGGGCACTTGAATCACCCCACCGATGGGGGACGTACATACATAACTACAGGAAGTCGACGGGATGATTATGAATTCATTTATAATAATTTAGTTTGAGTTATGCGTGGAACACTGAAACCCACTCAGCCTGGAATCCCATAATGAGCATATTCTATTAGGCGGGAGGCGTACTCTACGTTGCTACCCTTAAGATACTGGGGGTTGGAAATTAACAAAGCACAAATCCTGGACACATGTTGCATTCAAATGTCCTTTGGCGGGGAGTCTGGGTAATGCCGTGTTGTGACAAACCCCAAATCACCCGAGCTGACGGATCCGCGCAGCCCAGACCGGACCGGAATCCCTTTGAAGCCGATAAACATTTGCACCCGCAACCACCAAAAGCGACAACAACGGAACGGAGAGTCCTTGGGTGGGAGACATCGACTGCATCGCCATCATCATCCGACAGTCAGGGAGACAGACAGACAGACAGGCAGACAGGACTAACACAGGGCAAAGGATACGCCAGGAAGTTGTTTGGACGGGCATCAAAAAGCTTTGCCCACCTCCCCATCATCTGCATTTTCCGTTTTTCCTGGCTTTCCCTTCTTATTTCGGTGGGGTATTGATAACTGACACGCAGTAGCAACGGGAAGGAGATGAATGTATTTGTTTAGCATAATGGATGTGAGCTACTTCGTGTTCGTATAATTGAAAATCGAATCAAATCGCGTGAAATTTAATCAAGTTAAGAACCCTGGAAACTCGAGAGCTTCGACAACTCAACCCAACTCCGGGCCGGGGATCGGGTTTAGAGTCCAACTCCCTAGACGGACTGTGCGAGGAAATGGAAAAAATGAGCACAAATCCATGTGATAAACTGGCTACTATTTGCTTTGAATTGAGTTACTCCACATAAACCCCAAACTCCATGGAAGGGAGAGGCCACTAAGCGCACAGGAAGCCCATTGGAACGGATGCCACCACAGCTCCGGGCAGCTGGACTCTAATGCACGATTAATGCCCATTCCCAGACGCATAGACGATGTGCATTTCCTAGAAAATACAGTGGAAACTCCCAACAACATTTCCCAAATTATTGAACTAACCTTTAGGGAACTTATAGGAGCTCTACTGTAAGTAGCTGATGGGATGGCCACGATGTCGTGGGTGAATGTCGATGGCATGTCCATTTCGAGAAATTAAGCCCTGTAAGCGGCTTTTATGCGACTTTGCCTCTGACTCGCTGGCATTTCCTCGCCCATCTGGCCACTTGGGCTTCTGGCCATGTGGAGCTATGCCCCCGCAACTGGAGTCACTTTCATTGACGACGACGACGACCCTTTTATTTGATACCATCAAAGTCATCGTATATATAATATTGTAAGCAGATTTGCTCACTTCCTCACTTGCTGGAACGACGCTTGTTTTTGCCAAAGATGTCCAGGTGTTTGATGCGGGTGATTTCCCGAGCTTCCTGCTGGCTGAGCTTGTACAGCTGCTGGTCCAGGAACCTGACTTCGGCCACCAAGGCAGCCGGCGAAAGATCATCCAGTTCTGAAAGGGAAGTTTTGCGATATTTATGATCCTATCACCTCTGGGATTTCCTCTTACCATTCATTGTACGCAGCTCCTCCTGGTTATATTCCTTCTCACCATCGCCCGTCTCCTCCATCTCCATCTCCATCTCCAGCTCCTCCTCCTTATCCATCTCCACAGCCAAGTTTTCGACTTCTTCACAATCCTGCTGACCGTCCTCGGTCTCCTCCTCGGTGTCCTCGTTGGAACTGTCGGTGTTCTCCAACTTCTCCGTCTCCATTTCCGGGAGGTCATCCGCGGACTCTGCGTCCGCATTGGGACTCTGACCCTTCTTAATGGATGTCTTTATTTTATGCATAATATTGCAAAGTTTGTAAGTGCTCCAATCTTCTCGTTCTGCTCGTTCGGTGACAGAGTTGCATTTGAGGTGAGTTACAGCGGCATTGCCAGGCTGAAATTACCTAATTGACAACATTCAACTCGCTAATAGAAAATGCGAAAACAGAAGCGACCCAAAACATTAACTTTTATATTCATACATTCCCCCAAAAAGTTTCTAGAACGACAGGTTTTAAAATCCATATTTTAAAGCCAAGCCACCCCCTGGTGAAAGTTTTCTTTGCCGCCTAATGAGCTGTACAAAATTAATTGTCACCACAGGAGGGGAGGGTTGTCGTCTTCACAACGAGTGCGTATTATGCGAATTTCCAGCGATTGCCAGGGTTGCAGCCAAGGTCAGCGGCAGAAGCCCTGCAAAAACCTGGGGACCGGCCATTAGAAAGCGTTTTCAAAGGACTCCGGCTTCTTGTAAACAATCCATCAGCAGCAGTTTCCCCATCCTCACCTGCCAAGGGTGTAGAAAGGAACTCATTTGAAGGGGGTTACTAGTTCACCCCTTTGGTGCCGCTCCTGCTTCCGTTCTCTTTGGGCGCACGTGTCCCATTGCCTGGGTGGCGGCTCAACAGCCAAAGGACATGTCCATGGAATATGTGTCGTGATGGAAACAAAGGGACGCGTGCCCATTATTCCCCTCTGTGTCCATGTGTTTCTCCATTCCGTTCTGTTTCTGTTTTTGTAGCCGCTGCTTTATGGACAAAGTTTTTGGGCAAAGTATCGCTTTTACAAGGGGGGGCAGAGACCCGCGACTCATGCAAATTGAACAAGTTAAACTTTTGGAGGGGTCGCGCGCATTTCTATCCATCCCCCATAGCTACTGAAGGACTACTTCTCCCTGGGGAGACTCCTGCCGGCGTCTGTGTAAACAGTGTTTGCACTGTACAATGGGCCCCATTACGCTGCAGTTTAGTTGCAAGGATTTTGGGCCTCTGACCGTGTTATCATCCATCCGGCACGTGCCACTCGCATCTGACAAGGAGTGGGAGACCTACTTGAGGCCTGCTGCTGACTTTGATTTGTTCAAATCGCAGGTTAATGGATATTAACATGATACAGAGAAGAAAACACCAAAAAAAATCAATCGATTATGAGGTAATACATTCTAAGAAAAAAGTGTACTTCAATTTAAGATGTTATATAAAGGGTCTGAGATTTCTTATATTTTTAAAAAATATGTAAAGGTTATGGAATGAAGAACTAAGAACAATTCTTAAAAAATGTACAGTTATTTATATATAGTTTATTTATATAAAGTAAGCTCCAATTATCCATTTGCTTCTTTTTGCTTGTATTGTAAAATATATTGATAGATTTTTATACCCTTGCAAAGGATATTATAATTTTATTATAATTATTATTATAATTTTAGTCACTGAAGCAGTGACTTCCGACCCTATAAGTCATATATATTCTTGATCAGCAGCAACAACCAAGTTGATCTAGCTATTTCAGGCATTAACAAAATAAATAACCTACTCAAAACTAGCATGAATTAAAATTAATGCATTTGTGACGTAGTTATAATGGATTTAAGTTGAATATTCATGATAAAACTGCAAATTTCTAGGGTATACCAACTTCAGTGTGTCTAAGTTAGCTTCCTTTCTTGTTAAAACCATAACAAACGATCTTTATTTCGTTCTAAAAATTAAAAAATCAGTATAAAAATTTTCAAAATGAAAAATAACTATATAAATTTCTTAATAGAATTGTAAATTTACGTTTATTTAAAGAAATATTTCTTTCTCTGCATTTGATAGGCCACAGTTACCACTGTGACAAGAGTAGCGCCTGAGGAGCAAACAAACCAAACAAAGGGGCTGAGTGTTGGCCAAAACAAACGAACTGGCCAAAGACATAGGCACAGGACACAGACACAGACTGCGACTGAGACAGTGACTAGACGGCGAGTCGCTGGCAGGACAATGTCCTAGATCCTGAATTGACCCAAGACTCAAGTGTCGCTTGCCAACTGCCGCCGAAACAGGAGCGGCAGCTGGGCTGCCATTTAAATTGAATTAAATAAGTGGCAGTAAGTAGTACGTGCAGAATTGCCAATTTTAATGAACGGCATTTTCGCATTTTCGCATTTCAGCCATGCAAATGGCCCATTTAATTGGATTAACGCACATTTCCGCTGCGTAGCTGGCCAATTTATCACTGCTTATGTTTATATTTATGTTTATGTTTATTTGTGTGCCGCGTTTTAATTATGCGCCACAGTTGGAAGTGTGCCATGCGGACGGAGCTGGAGATGCGGATGTTTGCCTCGTTGCAACTGCTTCTCCTCCTCAGCGGCCATCTCTTTCTTCTCGCCTATACCTCTCTCTTTTCGGTCTTTCTTGATTTACTGCCAGATCCATTGTGAATGGCTGTCGATTGCAATCGATACGTTGCATACCTTATTTATATATATGTATATATATATTTTAGCCGCGCTTCGTCTCCTCCAGAAATCTGACAGCCTGGTGCGAATATCCATCGGTTTGTATCTGATTCGGGATGAATGCCGGTGTAATTTGAAGTCTTGTTTGTGGTTCGCTAATTCCATTGCTTCAACGTCGATTGCCGCGATTGTTGTGTATCGATAACCGAAACGAGACGGGTGAAAGTAGCAGCTCATTTCGGTGCAAAATCACATACAAACATATGTATTTTTGGTAGCTAAAACATGGTGTTTTATGGTGCTTTGGAATTACTTAATTATCTGTCTAAGACCAAGGTATTGTTTAGTTATGGTACATCACATTAATTATCGATTGCCTTTATCACTCTCTATAAATGCATTATCTTAATTTTCTCTTTTTTTTAATGTAATAGAGTTCTGTCATTAAGCTCATAGCTTATTTTTGCTTTAAAGAATTTGAAATAATGTGAAATCAAAATAAAGCCACACCGATATTGCCTGTCATCGAAAGACAGGATATCATGGCTTAGCCATCCGATTACATTCATTTCAAAGTGCCCCAGGAATTAGGTTGCTTTTGAAAATAAACGAAAATCCCTTCAGTTTTGCTGTCAAGTTTTGATAAAGATGAGGAATGGCAGAGCAGAGCGATGAATGGAGGAGAGCAGCGCCCGCGGAGTCGGCGGAATGGAAAGCGAATTCCGGCTGAAAGGCTCCTTCAGAGACATTCATTTCGGGGAGTGGAATGGGATTGGCGGACTTGTCGGACACGGTTTAATGTCGTCTGTGCTCGCCGCCGACGTATGAATATTTATAATAGATACTTATCTTGCACCCTTTCGCAGGACAGCGCACAGGACTCCCGAGCCGGCTTGAATTTACGGTCGCCCTGACTCTGGCTTATTAATTGCCCGCATACACGAAAGCGAGTCAGGATCCTAGTCCCCCTAGTCCTGCTCCTGCGTTCCCTGTCACTCGCGTCCTTGGCGACCTGTCGCCACCAAATGCAAAACATAAAAAGCATAAATATTAAAAGCCTAATTAATTTTAGGTCGCCGCCTGGCTGGAGTTATATTTTATTACAAAACTGAACGTCAATAATTGCAAGCCACGGCGTTCGGGTCGCAGGCTGCAGGTGTGAATTATTCGAGTTCACCTGCCTCGGAAAGGCAGGTTTTGTCACTTAAATATGCTGGTAAAATTTTTAAATAATTAAAGCAATTTACAAGGATTTCCAGCAAGGGGAGAGCAGCTGCTGCCGCAAAGCAGAAAAATGTCACATTGAAGGTACAGAGCTTACAGAGAAAAAGTTGGGGATTTTTAAAATAATACAAATAAATAAAATAAATAATTAAATATTAGTTGGTCTTTTAGGAAATATTTTGCGTACATATAGATATTTTAGTTAGAGGTTTGCAACGACTATATATAGTAAATATTTTCTAGATCAGAATCGATCTAGCCATGTCCGTCCGTCCGTTTCTATGTAATAATATAATATTGTAATGACAGTGAATTGCTCTCTCTCTCTCTCTCCGCCTCTTTCTCTCTCTCACTCTCTCTCTCTTTCTCTACCTACCTCTATCGGTATCGCTGCCTATCGCTAGCGACTCCGCTTTCTCTCTCGCTCTTACTTTCTCTGCTCTCTCCACTCAGGAACTATAAATAGAGGCACTGCTTTTGCGCTGACCTCATTTCGTCCGTGGCTTCCGCATTGTTAACATCTAGAGTGATAGTGATTGTGATTGCCCTTCGACCCGATTTATATCAAGTGAAGGAATTAAGCTATGAGCAAAAGGGATAACCGTGTGCCCTTTACTCCGGTAAGTCTTAACCACGACAATTATATCATATGCACAAAATCTTAATAAACATAGCAAGGCTCTTTAAGATAAATGCATCTTAAACTTATGATCGACATAACATTCGAACTACACACTTTGGCTTCTTGAAATTAGCTCTCTTTCTTTTTAATATTTACTAGCTAACTTCTTAATTAATCACAACTTTTCAAATTTCAGTGTATCTGAATATTAAACCAATTACAAAAGATCGTAAATATTCCTTGTGTCTAGCTCTTAACACAAGTTGTTTATAACCTGATTGTATTAATTTTAACATCCTACCTGTTACCATAAATTACCAAGGCATTGGTATAAATATACACATAAATATAAAAAGTAAATATAATGCACTTTTTGATGACCGAATATATCATCATCATTAATTTGTTGCTGTGCATATATTTTTTTGGCTTGAATTCCCTTCCAAAAGCAGCAGCAATTAGGCATTCCAGCAGCCTGACTTTGGCCCTTTTCGATTGTCCCTGATTGATGGATGATTGGTGCATTGCATTGCATTGCTCTCCAGATGACGATGGAGACCTTGCCTGTCCTGCTACTAATGTGCCAGAGCGCCAACAGGTGAGCTGCATGGAGCAGTAAAAGTGGTCTTGCTTTCAGCATTGCAGGTGCACTGGTTGGACTCGGAATCGAAGTCTTAGCCATTCACCGTTTGTGGCTATCAGCGATATTGATGGATAACGAGTTTCGGGGCCGGGAAAAGTGGGTGAGCCGACAAGTAGCCGGCATCGTAATTCGCTTTTCCATTAATTGATATGCGGCCGGCCATCCACTTGCATTATTCATATGCATTTAGCAGAGAGCGGGAGAGAAAGAAAAGAGGGAAAACTTGGTTGCGCCAAGTCCAATTTAATTTCGATTTTCCAGCAGTTGTTTCCCTTTGATCAACTGTCAGAATCCCGTCAAGCAGATCCGATCCTTTCAAGCAGCATATCCGCTTGACAAAAACTCTGCCTTTGAAGTTCTGCTGCGGAGTCAGATGAAGTTTCTTGGACATCTAATTATAGTGTTTTTTTTTTGGTGGCATAGCACACAGGATGCGGCAACACGAACGCATTAACCGTGATTTCTTTGAGCAAAGTTGTTAAAACTAATGAGACACACTGGCGCTCCATGACTTTTGACCCAAATTGCCAACGTTTGGCTTTATTTTCGCGAATTACCTCGTGGAGATGCGTCAGAAACTTAAGATGGGAATGGGTGGCCATGGAGAATGGAGGATGAGGATGAGGATGAGGATGTGCGACCACCAAGACGCTGTCTGCGGCAATCTCTTGGCGGCGCCGCCGCCACTTCGTCTGACCCAGTTTTATATATATTTCGTGGCAGACAAATTGTCTGCGCGATATGTTCGCCCCACAGATTGTTTATGATGCTTTTGAACTCCACTCGCCTTTAAAGAAGTCGCAAAAAAAACGACAACGGAAAAATATCGAAACGTCGCAGAAATGTGAGAAAACCTTGTGAGGTCAGAGAAACCCCATCCCGAATTCAATTATGGTCAATTTTCTGGGGTGACTGGAGGCCAGCTAATGTAATGGGAGATAGCCACAACCATCATCTCACCTAACAACACCTTGACTTTGGCCAAAACTACTGCCAATTAGACTTGGCCTGGCCTGACCAAATTTCAATTAACTTCAAGAGCAATCAACGAAACTTTCCACACAGATTGTCTCTCTCCCTCTCTTCGAGCGAGGAAAAGTTTGAACCCTGAACTTTGCTGCATTCTGGGCTTTTCAATTATTTAAAAAACCGAAAAGCCAAATAACCAGCTGCCGGCTAGTTGCATAAGCTTACGTTTGGAATTCACTTCACTGGGAAAAATATATATATTCAAAGAAAACTATATAAAAACAAATAGTAATAAATATGATTTATGTATTGTATAAAGTTTGAAGCCTTTTTTAAGATAACATAAAAAATATTTATTTCAGATTTCGCAATTAACATAAAAAGCTAAATACGGAGCGCCTTTTTTTCGTGCTTGGAGTGCAGTCCGGCTTGCAAAACTTGTTAGCTGCATCGCAATTATGACAGAATTAAGTTTTATGCCGTGCCACCGAGGTGACCAACTGTCAGGCCCCCGTCTCTGTGGCTAATCCCGATCCCCGCCAGACACCGACGACCGCAAGTCAGCAAAAAGCTATGCAAACCCAATCCCAATCCCAAAACCCATACCCCATACCCCATACCGGTACCCAGACCGCACATAAAACTGTCAGGGAGTGTGTGCGGTGTGTCAATGCCGGGTGAGATGCGGTGCCAGCGGATTTCCAATCCATTCCAGCGCCACCCACATGTTACACAAATCACTCTGCCGCCGCTGCCAGCCCGGAGTGGGATGCGGTGGGTGACGGTGGGTGTCTTGCCCAAGTATTGGATGCATATTTGGATGCTCCATGTCCATGTCCATGTGCCATTGACTTTGCAACTTTGTTTGGTCTCTCCTCGGTGTCTCTGTCCCTGTTCCCGCTGTCTGTTTGTCAATAAAGCAAACAAAGAAGTTTGTCCCCAACCAACAGAGTGCCAAAGATACAGATACAGATACAGCTACAGACCGAGTGCGAGTGCGAGTACGAGCATTGTATCTGTGTATCTGCATTCGCACCGGAAGTGCAACTCAAACATCAAGACACGACACAACTTTTTTGTGCTGCCGATCCTTTCCATCATCGTTTCCATATTTTCCTTTTGTCTAGAAAGTTTTGCCACTGCAAGCTCCCCCCTCCCCCCGGTTTTACCGGTGACAAGTGTCAGGGGCAAAACAAGCAAACATGCTGAGCAAATTAAAGCTCCATTGGCGATCCCGGCTTTAAGTTAATGCATTCCAAACACGGGGAAAAAATAGTAAACCTAATATAATATAGACTTTAAGATCCTTCATAAAGGAAGTTAACTGCGTAAAAATAGTAATATAAAAACTTATATTCGTATGATGGAAATCCTATCTCTAACCCCCCTTTGAACTATGTATATGCACGCTTCCTGGCCGTTATTCAGTTGGCTGTACGTGATTACTGCCTGATTGCAGGACTAGATAAAAGCGCCAGACCTCGTAATTATGGCCCTTGATCCTTTTTCTTTTTTGTCCCTTTTTATCCTTCCATCACTACGTCTTTTTCACGCAATGAAGCGCAATAATTGCTACGCTTAATGCAAATTCTTTCACCAAAAAGGCAGGCAGCTAGCCACGCCCCCTAAAGTGAGGGGGCTGCAAGTGGCAAATGGCTGGAGAGAAAGTGGTGTCAACCCCGGCGTCCGGCGTCTAGTCAGACGCCGTTTAATGCCATCCAGCACAACACTGTGTATGCAAATGAGTTTCCAATGACTTGCTCCGAAAACAAAACACACCACGCCGCGCAGGATATGACGTTATGTCGTTACGTCTGCCGCTGCTGCTGCACTTGAACTTGGCTCCGTCGCCCGCCATTAACTTGGCCACATGCGTCTGCCCCGATGTCTGTCTACATATATATATACACATATATAAACATATAAGTTTTAGCATGCAGAGTGAAAGCGTCACAGCCACTTGTATTGTAGTTGGCTAGAGGCGTTTTATGCGAAATTTGCACTTTTATTGAGGTCCCCTGGAGGGTGCTGCCTGCTTGCTCCTTTTTACGCTTTTAAGTTAAAGCGATAAGCGCTTTGTAATTTCAGTTTTAGTGCCTGCCCTTTAGTCCGCTTATCGGTGCACTTTAAGCGCAACGCCAGGCAGTGACACTAAAAGCCTCTGGAGACGGACTCTTCGATAGCCATTGAACATTAGCGGCAGCCATTTACAGAGAGTAATGGTTTAAAAGTTTCAGTTTTTATATGTAAATAGTATTTTGTACACAAATTAACTTCTTAAAATAATTATAATTGAATACTTCATCGAATATGAAATGGATTTTTTAAAGAGCTTCAAGTAAATTACAATTCCATTGCTAAAGTATAGAAAACTTAATTTTAATAGTTGTGTATACATTGAATTTACTATACTACATTTGTGTGCTTTACCTATTTACATTCTTTGGTTAGAATTCCCATTCTCAGATTGGTTACAAATTTTAAATATATTTAAACGCTAAGCACTTAATCCACTTCGCGCCCTAAATTTGAAAGCTTTTCTACCATACTCCGGCAACCCTCTCAAATTCACCACTCAACCGCTGCAGTATGGCAGCACCGTTTTCAATCAGCTGTTTTTTGTTTTGGTTCTTCAAGTGTCGTAATTCGCGAAAAAGCTAAAACTTACATCTCAAGATCTCGGCCAGAAATGTCGAAGCACGCACTTATAGGTAAATACGAGGATACCAACTATGGCTCCATGGCTAGCTGAATTAACCCACATCCATGTCTAGGTGGCGGCACCGGCTTTATCGGCAGGAATCTGGCCAAGAACTTGTCGCAAAAGGGCTACGATGTAACGGTCATCTCCCGGATGCCAGGTCCCAAGCGCATCACCTGGCACGAACTGGAGAAGAACGGCATACCTAGCAGTATTACTGCCGTGGTGAATGCTACGGGCCAGAATGTCCTAGATGCGACGAGACGCTGGACTCCAGGATTCCAACAAAACGTATGGAATTCCCGCATCAACTCCTCCAAGACTCTGGCCCAAGCCATGAAGGCGGCTCCCAAGGTCACGTCGTTTGTGAATCTATGCGGTGTCAGCCACTATCCGCCCTCAGAGTCCAAGGTCTACACGGAGGAGGACAAGGTCTCGGGCTTTGATTACATGTCCAAGCTGTGCTTGGCCTGGGAAGAAGCAGCCAAAACCGGAGATGAACAGGACTGCAAATGTGTGAGTGTAGAGAATGTGTTAAATATGAGGGGTTCACAAAAATGTAACAAATTTATTGCATTTAAGACAATCCTCCGCACTGGTGTGGTTGTCGGACATGGCGGTGGCATGATTCAATCCATTTGGTTACCCTTCAAGCTGGGAGTGGGAGGTCCTTTGGGAAGTGGTCAGCAAATAATGCCCTGGATACATATGCAGGATCTTTGCAGCCTGATACAGCACATTATTGAGAAGCCAGTACCGGGCGTGGTTAATGCTGTGGCCCCCGAAATAGCCAGCAATAAGGAGTTTAGCAAGGTGAATAATACCTGCTTTTAGAAGCTCTATGATTATCTAACTTCCCGCATCTAATAGGCATTTGCCAAAGCCATCAATCGTCCCTGCATCTTCAATGTGCCCGAGTTTGTGGTCCATGCCATATTTGGCAAGGAAAGAGCTGCCCTTCTGTTGAGCGGAGCCAAGGTGAAGCCCCAAACAGCCATTTCTAGTGGCTTCAAATTTCAATATCCCACCGTGAAAGAGGCCGTGACCGAGCTGACCCGCAAGGGGTGAACTGGACAATGTGATTTAGTTGAATGTTGTCTGTAAATTAAATGGTTGGTAGTACCAAGCGCAAATTAAAACGAATTTCTGGTGCGGCGGGGAGTCATGAAGTTAATATAGACCCATTTAATCTGTTTACTCATTAGGCATGACCACCACCCACCCAACACCAGTATTTCACAATTTTTTAGTGTCACATTATACGTAATTATTGGCTTAATTCATATATTTATAAACAAAAAAAATAACCGTGTTATAATTAATTTAATCAACTTGTCTGTTGTTTCTGGAAGTTTTCGGGGAGACATGCTGAGACCTTAGATTCCACGTTTAACTCCCAAACATTGTAGGTAATTCCCCCGTAAGTGTTACAGCCGAGTGTGAAAGATTCTAGATAATACAATTGTATCTATATAAGTTTGCCTATAACCCTTTTGCCGGACTGTTGTTGGCAATTGAAATAATTGCAAGCGCAAATGTTACCGAATGGGCAAAAAACAAATTAATTGACTTGCGCACGCTGCGAATCCCCGTCTATACATGTATGTATATATCTACATAATTATAATCGTATGTGTATCAATGACTATTCATTTATTATAGCCAGCTTCATGGGTTCTATATAAAGTCGGGGTCCATGATAGACACAGATTCAGTTTCTGTTCAGAGCCGTCAAAACGAAAATGCTTTCGAAATCGCAGCTGTTACTGCTCGTAGTCGGGTTCTGCCTGGTATGCTGATGATGATGATGATGCGGGATCACGCGATTGTTTTCTATCTTACAAAACTAATCCATTGACAGAATGCTGCCGCGTTGGCCGATGTAGACTGCAGCAAGCGTCCCACCTTTGTGGATCCCAAAACATGCTGTCCCATGCCGGATTTCGTTACCGCTGAGCTAAAGGAGAAGTGTGCCCAGTTTAATATGACTCCTCCGCCTCCAACCGATGGAGATGCCAGTGGTTCCTTCGAGAGCAAGCGTCGCCATCATCATCCCCATCCGCCACCAGTGAGTTTTTGCGAGTGAATCCTAAGAAGTATATATAATATATAGAAATTTCTATACTTGAAGTGCTTCTTCTCCTGCATCTTTAATGAAACTGGCATCTATACCAACCGGAGCCTGAATCAGGACAAGCTTGAGAGCTATGTTCAGGTGGTGTACAAGGACAGCACCGATCTGCAGACCACGGCCATAGAGGCCTTTACCACTTGTGCCATCAAGGTGGCCGAATTTGAAGCCAATTTACCTATGCGCCCATCCCCGCGACCTGGACGTCCATCTCCACCACCTGGCATGCCCTTCTGTCCTCATGACGCTGGACACCTGATGGGTTGCGTGTTCCGGAATCTGATGAAGAACTGCCCGGCTTCCATAAGGAACGATTCGCAGCAGTGCACCGACATGAAGGAGTTCTTCACCAAGTGCAAGCCGCCTCGTGGACCTCCTCCGCCCTCAGCAGAGGAAATGTAAAGACATCCCTATTCGTATCCCGCAAAGACAATACCTCTCCAGTCAGAACATTTAACTTTTTTTTGCTCGTTCTTTTGATTTCAACCAATAAAGATTTAAAGCTCAATATGGCGCCACTGCCTGTTCATAGACAGCAGCATCCTTTCTGCCACTTATCGCAAGGATGCACGTCTGGGCGCGCAATGAGTTAGAAAATTAGGTTACCGCCGGAGAAATTACTTATCGCGCGCATGTGCGTAGCCAGGAAACCGCGCTACATCCTGGCAAAAAAAAAGGATTCACTTAACTTCCGTCTGGGAAAGTGAAAGGAACATGGAGGAGGAGTTGAAGCAATTCTTTGCAGACTGTCAGATACAGGAGTTCTCGGGCGAGGACATCCTGGCCATATGTCAGCCGTTGGTCTGGCGGATCCGACTGGCCAAAGCGAAACGATGGTGTCTTATCGTCCTACCATTAGTGTTTTTGTACCTTCTTTGGTCATATTGTGACACCTTTTCTTGGTTTATAAGTGCGCTTGGACGTTTGTTGCTTATCCAAGTCTTGCCCCTGTGGGACTGGACACCATACTACAATGCCAAGTGTCTGATTTCTCGAGGGGATCAGCAAGTACACAACTCACTGCCACCTTTGGGAAGGAGGGAAACCCTGCCGGAGAACTGTGTTCTTTGTGATTCCATAGGTGAGTTTGGCCAAAGTAAAAACTAACATCTTTATGATCTAATATTTTCTTCAGAGGGAATAGCTACGGCCTCAAATGTGAGCTACTCCATGTTGGAATCTCAGTACCTAGAGCGTGGTCTTCCTGTGATTATAACCGATGCCGGTTTGGAAACGAATCTGTGGGATCTTCTAGAGCTCATTGAGGTTAAAGCACCCGAGTGGCTAGCCAGTGAACCCTGCGATGTGTCCAGTAATCTCTTGCTGCGGAAACTCTTCAATCTGGAGGCGGCTTTGGAGAAAATCCATTCGTGGCAGGAACAAACCACAAATCCCTGGCACCTTCAGCTGAGAAACTGCCAAAGAAAGGCGGTGAAGACCTCTCGCCTGTTTCTGGAACGACCTTACTATTATCCTTTCCACATGGCACCCTACTACTCCAGTTGGTTGCTGGCAGTGCATCAGCAAAAGCGCACTCAGGCGGAGATTTATGTGAGGGGCCTCATTCTGATGCAGCAAGTAAGTGGTCACTTTGATGTGGTTCTCCATCCCAAAGATCCCTGTGGGAATGGAGTGTGTCCCAGCCTGAGAATGCGTCTGAATGCCGGCGAAGGTCTGATATATTCCTCGGACCTTTGGAGCCTAAGTTATGGCCTGGAGAAACCCCACTCTAAGGTGACATCTCTGGCTAGCATCTTCGAGATTGACTGGCAGCCATAGAGACAACATGCTTAGTTGGCCGAAATTGTATTTGCACACACAACTAGATACACTCGAAATAAAAGCCTAAAGATTACAATTAGTTACTGGGAGGGATTAGGACTGGAACTAGGAAGAGTTTAGGCCCGGCGGCACTTCGCCTCCACGAGCTTCTGCAGGGTGGCCGTAAGGCTATTGATGGCATCGATCTTCATGCGCTCGATCCGCTCCTGCTGCACCAGCGACATCTTCTGGATTTGCACCTGCTCCTGCTGCAAGTTCCGCTGCAGCTCCATTTTCTCTCGCTCCACCTCCAGTTTCCGTTCGAAGTAGTCCTTCCACCAGATGTCATCGGCGGAAGCACCTGCCGGAACCTGTCCCTGTGGACGAGCCAGCTCATTACCCTCCAGATGCTGACTACTGTCGCTATGTCGATCTGCCTCCGCCGCGTGTTCACCGTCGTACTCCATCTTGGGCTGACGTACCTCCGACATGGTGTTGCTGTCCTCATCGAACTCGTCGTTGGATTTGCTGTCCATGTTCATCTGGGCCTGCAGGAGCACCTGATCCACAGGTGTGATATAGGGCTGTTGTTCCTCCTTCGCCGGAGTCTGGGATTTTATCTGCAGCTTCATTTGCGAAGGCTCGGGCTTAATGGTTACGGGATTTGGCTGCAGCTGGAGCGGTTGCTGCGGCTGTCCTTGACCAATAGCTTGTCCTGGAGCAAGAACTGGTGTTTGAGGAACTGTTGCGGATGGCTGAGGCAGGTGCATGTCAAAGTCCGCCTTCTTGCCCTGCAAATACTTGAACATCTCCTCGAAGAACTCCCAATGCACGTAGCCAGATACGTATTTCTTGCTCAGATTCTTGTTGTAGGTGATGAGGATGTTGTGCCACTTTTTCTGCACCTTGGCGGCGGAGTATCGGAAACCCAGGCGCTGCAGTTGACGGGTGCAGTGCAGCCAAAGGGCGGTTCTTTTTTGTCTGTAAAGGAAGAAGTTTTATTACAGGAGAATTGTAAATATTCGGGAATAATTCAGGACCAACCTGCCCTCCGTGAAGCTTCCCTCCATGGGACCGCGTATGTGTATCAATGCCCTGGTTGCCTCCGTTGTCCAAGCCCTTTCGTAGGGACCACGGCCTAGGCTGTTGGCACCACCTGTGGTCTCTGCCTCCTCCAACAGGCAATCATCATCCAGGTCATCCAAGTCATCGTCACTTATTTGATAGGCTGCGTAAAAGGAAATTTAAATTATTGGTTGAAGTTTACTTGTTTAAGGTATAATTTTAATAACCTAGCAGGGTATTATATTTCTAGTCAATGAAGGTGTCATTTGCCTATGTTATAATCTCTTTTTGGTAATGTAGAATTTAAGTATGACTTATTACTTTTAAAGATGATATCAAAACATATCGATATTAATTTATAGATTTTGACTTTTTTAATATAAAACTATCCATGTTAAATATTGGAAACATTTAATCTATTATCCTGTTAGTCACTTAGATTCCACTTAAGATGAGAGGAAAATGAAAACAATAAACTTTTCAAACTTGTTGCTCGTTGCAGGCAAATGATGGCAACTCTGGCGCTCTCGAAGCAACCTTCCGCAGTGTCCTTCGCTCTCGCCGTCCCTCTGTCCATCGCTCTCTATATCCTGCTGGCTGCTCTCTCTCTCGCTCTCTCGCTACTCAAGCTACCACCCAACGCCAGGCCAACAAACATCCTAGCTATGTCAAAGATGCTAGCTGCCGCTGACATACATCATATATATGATACATACATACATATATCCTGTTATGTTGCACACACGACATCCTGCTAATCCTGAACACCCACACACCTGCACAGGTATGTACTTTTCTGGCAACCGTTCAAGTTCTAACACACTGGCAGAGTTAAATATTTGAATTTTACAGGTGAGACTTACGTTCATTATCCTCGGCATTAATGCCATTATTGCCATTGCCTTGGGCAGTGGCTCCATTCAGCTGAACTTGAGCCATTCCGAGTTTATTCTTCCTTTTGCCTAGCTGGCTCTGAGCATTAGACCTTTCGCCTGTCAATAGTTTTCTCTTACTAACAGGACGAATTTTTGGCTGCAGCTTCCCTGGGTCGAGAACATCGCGTGCGCCTACTCTCTTCGTTCTCGCCATCCCGCTCGGACTCTCGCGCCCTCCCGCTCGCTCTGCCGCAGATCTGAGAGGAAGCTGCGGCTAGCAAAGGAGTAGAGTAGTGGGCTGGAGTTGGGGTTGGGTATGCAGCATCTGCGCACAATGAGGTCTGACGCAGGCTGGAAAGTCTAACCTAAAATAGTTCTAGTCCGTCTGCACTGGAATACTATTTCAGAAAAGTTAGGGTTTGCTAAGCTAAGCTCTTATTAGGATTTACCTGGATCTTATTATTTCCAGTGGTCTTAGCTTTGCCTGTTTAAAAATAGAAACTTTATTCACTAGCCAAGGTCTTAAGCTTGGATGTTTGTTTTAATAAGTTAAAAACAAGCAAATAGATAAGTTTTGTCTCTTATGGTTAAAAATAACTCTAATTATGGCTCACTAAAAGTCTCCGTTTTGTGGCATTGTATAAAATGTTTATCTCTTTTACCTGTGCATACGACATTTGAATTTTCAAACTTAATTTTCAAAAAGTTATCGAAACACTATCGGCATATCGATAAGTCTCAGCGTTGCCACAATGTTTTCCCGGCATACCCGATGATTTCTCCCAAAAAGTGGCAACACTCCGACCGCGAATTTGCGCGTGCAACACAACAAATAGTTTGTTGTTAAATAATTGTACGTTTTAGCTGTTAAGAGAGAGCAAAGACAATGCCCGCGGTGGAAAAAAGCGTGATGTAAGTACCGAAATCCCGAAAATGATCGATGCCAGAATGTAAACCACCTGTTAATCCCGATGTAGCACCGATTGGAAGCGCCTGTGGCAGATGGTGTCCGGAATTCACTACGAGACACCTCAGGAAACAGTGCGTGATGAGCTGATGAATGTGGCCAGCGAACTGCAGGCCGGCGTGCTCCAATTCAAGCCCAAAAGCGCCTCCGACGTGCAGTTGGACACGCTGCTCAAGGAAAAGAAGCAGGAGAAACTGTTGCCCTTCACCGAGCGCCTGCAAGATCTGCTGGATCTGGAATCCGCGCAATGCTGGGAGATCCTGTGTTACTACCTCACCAAGGAATATAGAGGTTCCGCGAGCCTGCTCACCCAGCTGATCTCCACGGAGACAAACATGGCCAAGTTGCACGAGGACATACGGCACTACTACTCGCTGGAGCGCATGATCGTGCTGAAAATCGTGAAAAACCTGCTCGTGTTCCACCGGGTGCCGAATCACCCCTACCACCAGGAGTACCGGGCGATAGTGGACAAGATAACTCTGCCCTGCCTGAGGGATTCCTATCTGATGCAGCTGGAGAGCCTGATCAGTGAGCTACCACCGAGAAAGCTGAGGGCGGGCGAGTGCTTCTACTCTGCGGACAAGCTCATTGCATGGTCGGAGCGGAATGCCAGGGAGATCAACGAGGTGTTGCACATCCTGCTGCTGCTGAACGAGCATCTGCCAATGGGCTTTGAACAAATTAAGCGGATCTTCGCAGCCTGCAAGCAGCACTCGTTTGGCAGGTTACAGAATTACCTGGACGACAGCCAGCGCTACCACCAAGAGCTTATCATCAGTATCACGTATTCGGAGCTGGTGCTCATCATGAAGTGCTTGGACTTTGAGAAGCCACACGAGAACACGGAACTGATTGAGAAACTCATTGAGGATCTACATATTGACATTTCGAACATGCACCATCGGCAAGAGCACGGTCCATTGCTCCTCGTCTGGATGCTGCTCCGACTGCGAGGCACCAACGATGCCGATGATGCTTCCAGCCTGCTACGGTGCCGACAGCTCGGCAAACGGGCAGTGGATCTCAAGTGCTTTGTCCAGCTACAGCAAATTGTCCGGCATTCCATGTACGCAGACGATTCCATGCTGTCGCGGATTGCCCGAAAGACCATCTACAACCAGCTGTGCTACATGTGCGATCTGTTCGATGGCGATGGCAGCTGTGCCCGGCACGAAGGCATCTACGAGTTGCTCTGCGAACTGGTTTCGTGGCCGCAGTTGGCCAAGGACTTCTGCAACCGCGAAGGTTTGTGAAATGCCTTATATTTTACAGTATGATACCAATAATTGGTTTATCTTTAGACGATGATGGAGCACGGTCACTGTATAAAAGTCTATTGGAGAATTTTCCCTTGGAATTCACTCATTTGGCCAAACTATCACAGTCGCTGACCAAAGCGGGGCAGGGAAATTTTGTAAGTCAAAAGCATACTATTAATTATCGCTTATGAAATCAATTTCTCCCAAAACCAAACCAGATTAAGAGTCAACTGGAATCATTGCCCATACTAGCTCTCTTGTACGATGAAAACGAGCATAGGCTCCGCGAGGTGGACACCGATGAGTTCGAGCTTACGGCCAGTGTGCGTCCATTTCCCCGCATCGATTACACCATTCCCGCTGGCACCAGCTGCACTGCCATCCAGCATCCCTCCGGCTGCTACATGCACTTCCGCACGCAGGTGAACTTCTTTGATGCTCTACACCATGAGATCAACTGCTTGTTGCAAGAAACTGGACACCTGCACGGGGACTTTGACTCCAGTGAACGGATTCGCCGCGTGGAAGCCGGCCTGCGGTACCTGGAGACCGCCGTACAGCAATGCACATCGATCGCCGGCATCAGTGCCGAGATGGTGCACCCTACCGAAATGTGCGTGGACCTGTTGCACAAGTTCAAGGGTGTGCAGTGTCCACCAGTGGGTCTCATCTCCAGTTGCCTGAACGTCTGCACCGCTCTGCTGCCGCTGGTGGATGAGGAAATCTTTTCGCGAATTAGCCAGCTGCACATTTTGCCCACAATTAGCCAAGGACTGCAATATGATTTCAAGCATTATGCCAATGCCAGTGGCGTGTGCTTCGAGTCTCGTTTCCTTGGCTCCGTGATCGACAATGTGGAGAAGAAGAGTGAGCGATACGAGTTCCTGCTGTCTTACCTGGGGTTCCTGCGCACCTACACGAAGCTGAATCGAAACCGCTACATGCAGGTGGAGATTCCGGGATTGATATTCCTGCTAAGGGACGTCTTTCCTCACTTGCATGCTTGGCACTTTCGGTCGCAGGTGGAGCGGAATAAGATCTACTTCGAGGTACTGAGCTTTATCTGCGACGTTCTGGACTTAACCGGCGCGAATGCTAGTGACGCCCATAACGAACAGCGAGATCTACTGCTGAAGATATGCATTTATTCACTGCTTAATTTGGATAATGGCCTGATCCTTCTAAGGTGAGTTGATTTTTCGATATACCCTTATATTCGAACTGAGATATTCCCAATTTTTCAGATTTGTGGGCGTGGGTAATGCCTATGTGCAGTATACCATGGAGCTAGAAACGAATTGGATGCAGCAACAGCCACACGGCCTGATGATGCTGGTACGTCTGTCCATGCGCATCCTAATGCAGCTACTGCGGCTCAAGGAGAAGGTCTACGGGAGCGGTGAGTCCCTGTCTCCTTTGGAGGCGTTGATATACACACAGCCCAAGCAGAGGGATACCCTGCGGATTATCCCAACTGTCTGCAGTTATATGGCCAATATTTTTGACCGATGGCTGCCTATACTGTCCTGCCGCCTACTAAAACGCATCGCCCTGGAGTTTAACATGTCGCTGCTGGCCTGCCTGGACATGGAGGCGGATCAGATTCGATTGACATTTATGCAAAAACTGCCCGACGAACTCGAGAGCGACTCGATCAAGCTGGCCATCCTGGAGCTGGTCGACGCCTGCATCGCCAAGCAGCCGGGTGTGACTGAGGCCTTCTTTAAGGTGAACTATGCACAGGACAAGCGATCGCGTTCCTTCTTTGGCAAAGAGTGCGTTCCCAATATCGGCGAGAGCATTGTCACCTACATGCGGGAGTTCTTGGACGCCCTCCAGTTGGAACCCTTGACTATCCAGCAGGAGTTACCCTGCAAGATCATGAACATATTCCACTCGCTGTGGAAGCACAATCTCCAGATGCTGGTCGACGAGCTGGTAAAGGACAATCAATTTTGGCCAAAGATAGCCTCTCCCTTGTTCTGCGAACTTCAACCAAACGTGAAAATCTACACACAGCTTCTTAACATTATCTCCATTGAGGTCTATACAGGCAACGGAAAGAATTCCGCTCTCCTGGACATGATGACCAAGTTCTTCCAGCTCAAGACCTTTGAGCCCTGGCTAAAATACGTCTTCGACATGCCCAAGGTGCCGGCTGTGAGTACTATTGGGTCGTCCGATGACCTGCCCAACTGGATCTGCTGCCTGCAGGCGTTCAAGGACCTCATTGTGATCCTGCTAAAGAAGCAGCCCAAGTTCATGACGATACCCGAGTTGCAGTTCAAGGTGATGGCCGAGAAGTGCTTGACAGTGCTGGTGGATCGCTCGAATTATCTGGAAGATATGCGGCCCTTCATTGTGCTTTCCGAGCTGTATGTGTTCCTTCTGCTTCATTTCAAGCACTCGTACACAAAAAGCGGGGAGGAGGAGCAGGAGCTTATGGAACAGCTGCTGCAGTTAATGAGCCGCATTTGCACCTGCTACGACGACCTGCACGTGAGGGCCAAGGAAGCCTGCCTGGCCATCATCACCAAGTGCGCGCACCTCTACACGGGTCTGCTGATTCGTGACTCATCCATTGCCCTTCGCTTCCTCAATTCCGTGGTCAGCATCATATGCAGCGAGCTGCAGCACATGGAGAACTCGGTGAGCTTGGAGAAGACACAAAGTCTGAACACTTCGGATAGTTCGGGAGGCAGCAAGGCGTCCACCAACTCGCTGATTCTGTGCCTCAATCTGCTCAAAGCCGTAGCCACCATATTCCACAATGACGGCCCCGGGAACTGGGATCTGCCGTTTGTTTCGGTTCGCCTGTTCCAACGACTTCTGCGCTGCATATCCCACACCTTGCCGCTGTACAGTAAGCAAGTGCTTAGTGTCCAGCTCTTGGACGTGCTCATCGTTTTCGCCAAAGGACACTGCTCCGTGGAGTTCTTGCATTGCGATGTGGGCGAATCCTTGTGGTTGAATCTACTTCCGCCGCGAGAGCTGCTGCAGTCCAAGATGGAGTTCAGTAAGCCCTCGCCGGCGGATGCCGACCGCTGGACCGTGGAACAATGGTGGCCTGTATACGCGAGGGGCATCGAGCTGGTTACCATTATCCTAGAGAAGCATAAAAAGTGCTTCCTCCACGAAGCTCTCCAGTTCGTGGGCATTCATGAGGTCTACTTGGTTGATGCCCTTTTGCTGAGCAAACAATCTTTGGAGCCAGCAGCTATGCAGCTTATCAAGGCGGCCATAAGCTTGGTGTCCTGTCTGACGGAGCATCATAAGGAGTGGCAGGAGGAATACGACTCGTCGGTGGGAAATATAATGGTGAGTTTTACTCTGGCACTCTTTAAAAGTTATATTAATCCTTTTAATTGTGGGTTTACAGCGAGCAGTTCAGGGCTTGTTGTGCCATAGCTCCTCTTTGTTCCATCAGCAAAGGAACTTGAAGTGTCTCCTGGCTGGTCGACGCTCGCAGCTGGAGATCCTGCGCAGCACAGAGGCTTTGACCATCGATGATGATCTTATCACCGCCTGCAATGAGTGAGTTTCTCTCTTGAATGTATGAATATTATTAAATTTTATGATTCGATAGCCTCACGGACATCATAATTTACTGCGTAAAATCCCTGTTGAGGTTCAGTCCGGACCTAATGGACCTGCTTTGCGGCAGTGTCTATGAACCACACAAATGGCATCCCTTGCTGGATGTAAAGTTCGGTGCCCCCAAGTTGAACGAAGACAATGTGACGCTGACATTTGGAATGGTTCTCAACATGGTCAACATATACGTTAAGGCCTTGAATATGGTATATAAATTTATCTTGGCTACTGGCTGCATCCTATACAAACTATTGAATCCACAGCAAAACCATGGCTTCAGCGATGTCCCCTTGAACACCTTGCCAAATGTAGAGAAGCCGGCAACTGACCCAGCGGACATCGAAGATGCCACCATTTGTCTAAGCAATCAGACAAATCGCACCTTCTCCAAGTCCCTGTCCAGCGTTTCAATTTCCACCGCGGGCTGCCCAGCCAGTGAGTTGCTCTCGAATATGGACAGCCAGCTGTGTCTGCTGGCGCTGGAGCATTTGCTCTTGTTGGTAGCATCGCAGGTCATTTGCATTATCCGCTCGCCGGAACTGGAGCCGCGTTGGAAGACAATCGTGCGAAGAGACATAAGCAACGAGTTGGTGATCTTTCACGAGTTCGTGCGTCGCAAGGTGATTGCCAATTACAAGGAGAATCGCAGTCCATGGCTGCGACGCAAGCAGGGACTTTTCAAGCTCAAATTCCTTGATCCAGCGAGGATTTCTAGTTCGCCGAGTACATCATCCCGCAATCTCGATCCAGTGCGTCGCATTGGCAGTGCCACCAACGAGCTTCGGGTGAATGTGGTTCGGCGGCAGCACCTGCAGCAACAGCTTCGCAGTCCGCCGCCCAATACCTTTGACATGAGCGTCGATATCAGTACCATATCGCCGCTGCAAGGTACTCCGAATGCTGCCATGTTGTCGCCAACAGAGTCAAGGGACAGCCGAAAGCGTTTATATCCTGCAGAACAAGTGGGTGCTGCCTTCGTGGAGGACGAACTGGCATCCATTGATCAGCAGTTCTTCCCTCCACCCACGGAGAACGGATTTAGCGAGCTGTCGCAGGTGCAGCTGGTGGAGGAGGACTACATGCAGCTGATGTCGGTCCTCTTCAACGTGATGCCCCATTGCGAGTGAGCTGTTTATTAATTGATTGATTCATTAATTCATTAATTATTAAAATATATTGCGTACACTCAAATAAATTCGTTGGTTCTTAACATTTTATTAAATTTCATCTAATTCCGTTCCACAGTTGCCACAGAAATCAATGAGTAATTGAAACTAATTGAAATTGATAATTTAGAAAATTTGTACAGCTTTTATGCCAAGTGATTAACTTTTCTTTAATTTCCGTTTCTAAATTAATGCATTTTTGGTTGTGATACGTTAAATTTTCTCTGCAAGTGTATAAAAATTTCGGTTTCATGAAGTTAGCTTCTTATTTTTCTTATTAGCAAGCTATACATAATTTGGAAAGTTTTAAAAAAAAAAATAATAAACACATTAAGCTTAAAAACCACTTGTCTTCAACTAAAACTTTCCTCTCTGATTCACTATATTGAGTTTATTCGAGTGTACGCCTTAATTTTGCACAATTGTGCGAGTGACGTCACGACGAGCCAAGACGAGCCCCCAGCAACGTCATCGCTATCTCTCTCTGTTGAGGAAAAGAGTGTAATTACCTCCGGAAAAAACCTCTCACGCCCCGTGAGCTTCACAGGAGAATCCTCCACCGAAATGGGCGAGAGAGAGAGGAGAGGAGAGAGCGATTTATGCTTACTCGCAGCCGAAGAAGTAAGCGACGCTGCTGCCACCGATTCCGATTCCCGTTCCGATACCGATTCTGGCGAGGTGCTGAGCTGATTATGAGCTTTCTGCTTCTGGCCGAGACGTCGCTCAGCATTAGTACCTTAGTACCTTGCGAGTGGTAAAAGAGAACGCATGTGCAGACACCGGAGCGGATACGCAACGTGAACGAATAAAATAACGAAGCAGCAGCAACAGCAGCAGCAGCAAGTACGAGCCAAAGGTTTACCCACACTCTCTCTGAGCCACGGGACTCCCATCCGATAATCCAAGAATCAGAGCCATCGTCATTAGGGCAGCCAATTAGCCAAGTCAGTGATTGTGATAATGCTTAAAGGTGTTCCCACGCTAGCCGGTCGTAACCTGCGCCTTCTAACTGGATCCGGACAGGTGCTAGTCCCCCATCGCCCCAAGGCATCCGCCGCGGAGCCGGCCGAGGCGGACACTGAACTGAACCAGGAGCCGAATCTCTTGAAGCGCGTCAAGTTCGGGCATACGGGAAAACAGCTGCAGCAGAAAATAGCCACAGAGGTAAGTGGACATAGGCAATCCCCCTTGGGGTTTAAGTGAAAAGGAACAGCTGACTTTGTAACTTTTTTGGGCACAATTTTCGCCCTGCTATTGATTTTTTCATGTGATATCATAAACGGTGGGCAACGCGTAATCCCCGCAGATGCGCAAATATTCTGGCGGAAAGCAAACAATGTGCAGAGTTCCCGAAAATAGATTTCGAAAACTAAACAAGAATAAGAAATGGTGGGGGAGGGCACGAAAACTGGAGGCGATTTCGGGCACGTAGGTTATATATGTATAACTCATTTCATTCAGCCTGACAACGCTGTATTTTTTAATGAAGAAGACGCCCGGCATTAGTTTAATTAGATAAACGCCAAGCACAGCGTGACTGACGCAATCTCCTGCCCTCCAGTTAGCACACACCCACTGTCCTGTCTCCCTATAGGAAAGATAAAAAAAAATGTTGGTTATCTTATCGGATCTGGGATTGCGGACGGAGGAACTACCGGCAAATTAATTGTGAAATTATCATGACAAATTTCGGGGGTTGCTTAGGTGCTAATCAGGTGCAAATCAAGTGACACACTCATCCCTAATCCCCCAGAACCGCATGTGACATGTGGAACTCCCAGAAATTAGTTGTCAACAACAATAAGTTTATAAAAATGTCAAAAAACCAGACGACGGCGAGACGACTGACCGAGACATTGAAATGCCGATCGAGAGATTGTGAACTTGTGCTGGAAATCTGCCCCGAAATTAATCTCTCCTCGCTCGTCGATCACCATCAAGAATCGTGGGCTATAAATATACCCCGCGGTACAAAACATCATAAAATTCCTAATACGCTTTGGTTTTTTTAAATTTATTCAATAGAAAAAAAAGTAAAAAATCATATCAAGTAATTCTAATCATATCAGTTAAATCTGAAATCATATCAATACAAGAGATAATGAAGAAATCATATCGGAAAATATATAAATAATTAGTTAGCTTGCAAAATCACACCGGAAATCTAGTTAATATATAATTCTAAAATATCATTCTGACACTTTTGATAATAATCTAACTAAAAAGTCATTGTGATATGTAATTAATCCTACCATATCTATGAATCACCAATGGAAATATTTCAAAAAATATATGATAAATACAAGTTAATTGAGTTAAATTCAAGTTATATTTTCCATTTGTTAACATTTCTTTGTGTGTAAACGAGTAAGAGAATCTTAAAAGTCACGCGAAACTGTCACCCCAAAATAAATTGAGTAAACGTGAGCTTGGCAACACAAAATAGAAGAACAAATAAAGCTAGTGCTGATATTTGTTATTGGGAAAATCGTGGGCGGCTATAAGATTGCCAAGAGTTCCATCACTAGACCAAATTGTTTTGCGGTTCTTCCGTTGCCATGGAAGAGCTAAACGAACGCACATTCATAAATATTTAGCATACTACGGAGTAGGTACATAAATGTGTTAATATTTTAGGTGCCACAACACAAAAACCGAGCCCCTTCACCACTCACATGGCGTTTACCACCAGAGAAGTGTGAGAGAAAGCACCCAGTTCTCTCAGGTCTTAATTATTATATTATGCTCTCTTTTCTCGCCAATTTATGAATAATATTTGCCAACAACTTGAGTTCGCGTCTCCGAGAAATTTGCAGCTTTATGGCAGTGAATTCTTGCTAAAATATTTTTTATGAATCATAAAAGTAATCCCTTCAGAATATGTCTTTAAATGTATTTAACTCAAGATACCACAGTTTTGATTTTAGATTCAAAATTTAAATATCACACTCTATTTTATATAACTTACAATCAAATCACAAGACCTCAAATAGATAAGACATTAAAAATTAAAGAGCTATTTTTTTTAAGTTATTTTATTTCAAACAAGAAAGGAAGTTAACTTCGGTACGCCGAAGTTCATATACTCCTGCAAATTGAAATTCGATCACTAGCAATATAATTTACTTATATTTATGTTAAAAAAGAATGAAATACTGCCTGCTGTATATAATCATTCGTCTATACATTGTATATTTACAGTTTTACACTCACAGTTTTGTATATATTTTATCGAAGTCCGATTTTCATAAAATTGTACACAAAATTCTAAAATAATATATAATGGCTTTATATTAAATTTGATGAAAATCTTTTGAAAACTGGAAAAGTTCTAATTTGTATCCTTAAATTTTTCCGATTGTTCCCATGGCAGCTATATATATGTATATATATAGTCCACCGATTCGCCATGCTCCGACTTATATACTAGTAAAATTATATAGAAGAATAACTCTATAGTTTTATTCAAATAGCTTGCTCTTGGTTCTAAAACTAAACTCGCACATGTGTGCTATGATTCCCAACTTGTTCTAACATCCCCGGAACGAAGTGCCTTCTGCCAGCCAGGTCTCAGAAATGTGTTGTTACAAAAGTTGCAAGTCATTGTTTATAAGTGTTCAAAGTTAATAACTGGTCATAGATACTTACTGATCATAGTTACTTACTGGCCTTAGATACTTAGTGTTCAGAGTTACTTACTGGTCATAGATACTTACCGTTCAGAGTTACTTACTGCTCATAGTTACTCAGTGTTCATAGTTAATTACTGGTCATAGTTCCATAAATCGTCCGATTGTTCCTATGCCAGCCATATATATGTATATATATAGTCCTCCGATTCGCCATGCTCCGACTTATATACTGGTAAAATTATATCGAAGAATAATTCCATAGTTTCATACAAATAGCTTGCCCTTTGTTCCAAAACAACTCTCGCACATGTGGGCATATGATTCTCAACTTGTTCTAACATCCCCGGAACGAAGTGACTTCTGCCAGCCAGGTCTCAGATATGTGTTGTGTTACAAAAGTTGCAAGTCATTGTTTATTAGTGTTTAAAATTAGTAAGTGATCATACATACTTACTAGTGAAAGATAATTACTGGTCATAGATACTTACAGATTATAGTTACTTACTGGTCATTGATACTTACTGTTCAGAGTTACCTACTGCTCATAGTTACTTAGTTTGCTCATGGGTAATTCCTGGTCATAGTTAATTACTGATCATAGTTATTTATTGATCATAGTTACTTACTGGTCATAGATACTTTATGTTTATCAATACTTATTGATCCTCTATATTTAACAACCGTTTCTCTGGCAGTTATCTTATATAGTGTTCAGAATTTCATAAAACAAAATACGAAATTCTATAATAATAAAAGAAGTTCTCCGATTTCCTCCCGAATTTCTGAAAATCTTTTTATTTTTAATTATCTCGGTGCTTCCGTTCCAATTTTACGTCAATGTTTCGTCCGTCAGCTTTTCGGATCCCAATTTGAAAGGTGCCAAAGTCCCACGCTAATGGTGACAGGCCCCTTCAACGGAAACTTGTTTGCGAAATATTAAATTCTTCTTATATATATATATTTTTTTCTTATTTATTTTTATGCCGCACCTGATCTTGTTGTTGTTGTTATTGTTATTGTGCAGCTCACATGACTTTCTTTCTCTGGCCGAAATATGTATTTAATAATATGCAAATAAGCAGCAAGTGCGAAAAGTGATCAACAATGAGAGCAAATTTGGGAGGCAAAGATTTACTTAGCCAGAGAAAATAAAGAAAAAGAGATTGATTTATAGTAGAAATATATTATGCGGCACGTGAAGATAACTTAATTGGGTTTATTTCCAAAGAAAGATAAAGATATATTCGTGTGGAATTTTTTTTTGTATGCAATTCGAAGCAAAGTTAATTAGGAAATGTGTTTTCCGCATCCGCCGAGGACAGGAAGTGAAGAAGACATATCTTTTTCGCTGATGTCATCCTGTTGGGTAAGCCAAGCCAGGCAAAAAGGACTTATTACTGGCCAGGAGTAAGTTCTAAGCTAATTGATTACTCTTTCTTACACAGAACATTATTTAGGGTACCTGCAAATAGCTGGCCATGAATTTTAAGTAAAATAAAATAATATATATATAGATTTATATATGAAAACGAAGATTGCCAAGATAGCGGACTTACTTTTCAGCATGCTAAATCGAACAATCCTCGTAAGCTTCATAGAATAGTATTGCAGAGTTTTGGGGATTCCCCATTTGCTGGGGAAAGACCTACCCCCGTGTGGCTATAAAAGGTTCTTTGCAATGGCTTTTCTCCATTATTCCGAATTGATCCAGTTGCGGAATACGTTGGATATATAGCTTAAGACCATGCTAGTACGTGATACAAAAAGGGGGCGCCGCGCTTTGCATAACTGCTGGGAATACGTGACTTTCATAGGGAATTTCTGTTCCGAACGAAGCATTTTAATTGATTCTTTGTCCATTTCAGAAGAAACTACGCGCTCCCCCACTACTGAATCTGGTGTTTGCCAATCGCAAGTTATCCTTCTATGACACCAGCTCCACGCCGAAGACCAACGAGGAGAATGCCAAGCTGTGAGTACACATGTTCCAAAGCAATTACTACCCTTTACATCTCCACCAAGCACTCCACCACTTCATCACTTCACACTGATCCCTCATCGAAAATATATAGAGCACTTGCACAAATGCATCCCAGTCACTAACTGTTAGAATTACAAAATATTTGCCCATTAATTGGCACCCTTTCTGCCCACATCTGCCCACGTGGATCAAATGGGTTGGGTCAACAGGCTCCGGCCTGGTACCATGTCAGCCCACTGATCCATTTTTAGATCCACTGCAGTTTGCACATCTATTCATAGCTCGGGAAATATTGTTTTGCAAAGTGCAGCCAAGAAGCGTTGACACACACAATTAACGATCGCTGCCCAAAGTCCGAAAGGAACTTGGCAAATATATTTTGATGGCACATTTGGGGTAAATATTTTGTGGTCGTCACCCCTTTTGTCTCAAAAAACCGGGACTCGGCCTGGGAGATGGGGCTCCTAGCGAGGAGAGGTATCTGCCCTCGGAGCACGCGCTAATTGCCGGCAATCTGCGATCGCATAAAATAAATTAACATACGTTTATTAAACGAAGATAAAAATCGAATTCGCTCAATCTGTTTCGGGTCTGCGGAAATACATACATAGATATAGATGAATATACATACATCATAGTATGTTCGATGTCTGATGTTGGCGAACTATAAAACCATTGCCGCCACTCGGCTGCGCTCATTTCGGCGGTGACGGGCCGCAAGTTTGCACAGAGAAAAGGCGGATATATCGGTTATAATATACAGAATAATGGGCGATCGTAGTTGGAACCTGCTGCAGTATGCCACCGAGAAGGCGCCACTGCCCCTCGATGGCTACACGGCCGAGGAGGCGGCCCAGTTCAAGGATAGCATCAGGCAGAAAATAGTCGACGACCTCAAGTCCATGACAGGGGAGGAACTGATCGAGTTGGTCAAGCAGAATGCAGCCAAAGTTGAGGAGGAGAAGGCAGAGAATCGGGGCACATCCGCCACATCCTTATCCGGCAGTGAGGAGGGCAAGGAACGCATTCAGGACGATGCGGATCTAATTGATGCCGGAATCATAGGCGAAATGGTGGCCGGACTTTGCACCAAGAGCCAGAAGGCGATGTTCGTCAAGGTGATAACGAAGTATATCAGGTAAATCATAAGGTGAATCAGCAGCAGTCGTGCCCACTCCAGGCCTACCCCAGACCTCCTTATCGCGGAAAACGAGGTTCCGTCGTCGCGTGACGTAGTTCTTATCGGTTTCGCTTGCTAGGTTTTTCTCTTTTGTAGTGATAAAAGAAGAGGTTTGGTGCCCATGTGGATGCGGCAGACAATGGCCATTATAAATCCTACACAGCACTGAGACTCGCTATCGAACAATGTGCTCGTGTATTGGTGTTTGCCTATAGGGAAAAAGGAGTTAATTAATTTATTTTATTGGCAATAACATGATTTAGAAATTAGCACATTCCGGCTCGACTCTCAGTGGTGCCCTCCGCTCTCCGGCCGCTTATATCTATCTATCTGTATCTGTATCTGTATCCGATAGCTATCTAAGTGCTCCGTTCGCTGGGAGCAGCAGCAAAAGTCACACATTTGGCTAATGTATAAAACGCTGGCGCGCTTACAGTTGTTCCCATTAAACTTGCAACAGTTCAGCGCTCAAGTCAAGGCGATCCCAGTCCCAATCCGCAATTTAGATCCACTAGATACAGATAGAAATCCAAAACCCTTGACAAATATCACGTATACGCCGCGATGGTGCAGACCGAGGAGATAGAAGCGTTGAAGCGCCAGAGCGAGGACGGGGAGGCCAAGGAGCGAGAGGAGAAGTATAGGCAGGACAAGGAGCAGGACACCACTGAGACGGCGGCCATCATCGAGGAGATTATCGAAGGCATCTCGCTGCAGAATCGTCGCGGCACCATAGTCCGTACTATTTCCGCAATAATCAGGTAAAAATAGTGCCGGAAAAAGATGCAGTCAGGGACAGGGTCTCGTGTACTATATGATACAATGTCTGGTGGATCGTAAAAATAGATTGTGCACAACTCACACACACCTCCCTCTCTCTCTATATATATATGCGACAGACACACCCTTCCCCACCATCATAAACAGAAATTGCGTTAATTGACGCTCATTACACGAGAGTTTATGGTTAGCATATGGAAGTGTAACTAACGATTTGCCATTCGATCATCCTGTTTCCATCCTATCTTTTAGCAATCAGCGACGCCACTATTCGATGCGGCCGTGAGTAATAGATTGATTTGCAACCCACCCGTCCTTCCTTCCCTCCTTCCAGTAGAATATTTGCGGCAGTTGCCATCTTAATCAAGCCCCAAATTGAAGTTGATTGAAGTGATTTCCCCCAAATTGATGGCCACCCGAAAATCAAGAAATCAAATCCCAATTAATCAAATCAACCGAGCATGGAGATAGATCTATTTTTAGCGGCGAGACCAACTGGATCTTAGCTGTTTTTAAATGCCTGCATTGGATGGATGTCTGTGCGCCAATTAGCACTCTAAGCCCTAAAGTCAGTTGGCCAAAGACAAACCCCATCCCCATTCCCATCCCCAATCCCATCTCCCCCGTAGATATGTGTAGCTTGTGTATTTTCTGCGAATTTTGTTTTGCTTTTCCACACACGCATGCTAAAACTTAGTCGGGGATCGCCGCTCAATTAGCAGGTGCCCTAAACCCAGTTGCTTTTATGCGGCTTCGAAACTATTCCGATAATTGCCTTCATACTAACGGTCGATTTCTGTTCTTCATTCGCAGCCACCGGGAGCAGGAGCAGCGGAATGCCGAGGACGTGCTCTTTGATATGTTCGCCAGCGAGGAGACGGGCCTCATCTCGATGGGCAAGTTCCTCGCCGGGCTGAAGACCACTGGCATCCGGCGGAACGATCCGCGAGTTCGCGAGCTAATGGATAACCTGAAGAAAGTTCACAAGTTGAATAACTACGAGACGGGCTCATCGGCGGAGACGCAGCATCTCAATCGGGAGACCTTTAAGGCGTAAGTTGCATCCCCAATTCTGACTAGCTTCAGAGGTAATCTTATCTTAAATTTATAGCGTTGTGGCCCCCAACATTGTCCTGATTGCCAAGGCCTTCCGCCAGCAATTCGTCATTCCCGACTTCACCAGCTTCGTCAAGGACATCGAGGAGATCTATAACCGCTGCAAGAGCAACACCTTAGGCAAGCTGGCCGACTATATTCCCCAGCTGGCTCGCTATAGTCCCGACTTCTGGGGCGTGAGCATCTGCACCGTCGACGGACAGCGTTACTCCATAGGCGATGTGGATGAGCCCTTTACCCTTCAGAGTTGCAGCAAGCCGCTGACCTATGCGATCGCCTTGGAGAAGCTCGGCCCGAAGGTGGTGCACTCGTACGTCGGCCAGGAGCCCAGTGGCAGGAACTTCAATGAGCTGGTCTTGGATCAGAACAGTAAGTGAGCTCTCCCTTTAAGAGAAAGAAATCTTCATTAATACCCCCGATTTCAACAGAGAAACCGCACAATCCCATGATCAATGCCGGTGCCATTCTCACCTGCTCTCTGATGAGCGCTCTAGTCAAGCCTGACATGACCTCCGCCGAGATCTTTGACTACACCATGTCCTGGTTTAAAAGACTATCCGGAGGAGAGTATATCGGATTCAACAACGCCGTATTTCTCTCGGAACGCGAGGCTGCGGATAGAAACTATGCCCTGGGCTTCTACATGCGGGAGAACAAGTGTTTCCCCAAGCGCACGAACCTCAAGGAAGTGATGGACTACTACTTTCAGTGCTGCTCCATGGAGACCAACTGCGAGGCAATGTCCGTGATTGCCGCCAGCTTGGCTAACGGTGGCATTTGTCCCACCACAGAGGAGAAGGTGTTCCGTCCGGAGTGCGTCCGGGATGTGCTCTCCATCATGCACTCCTGCGGCACCTACGACTACTCCGGTCAGTTCGCCTTCAAGGTGGGTCTGCCGGCCAAGTCGGGAGTGAGTGGTGGCATGATGCTGGTCATACCCAATGTGATGGGCATCTTTGCCTGGTCGCCGCCCCTGGATCATCTGGGCAACACGGTGCGAGGCCTGCAGTTCTGTGAGGAGTTGGTCAACACATTCAACTTTCATCGCTACGACAACCTGAAACACCTGTCCAACAAGAAGGATCCGCGCAAGCACCGCTACGAGACCAAGGGTCTGTCCATAGTAAATCTGCTCTTTTCCGCGGCCAGCGGGGATGTGACGGCTTTGCGGCGCCATCGCCTCTCCGGAATGGATATCACCCTGGCGGATTACGATGGCCGTACGGCCCTGCATCTGGCCGCTTCCGAGGGCCACCTAGAGTGCGTCAAGTTCCTGCTGGAGCAGTGCCATGTTCCCCACAATCCCAAGGACCGTTGGGGCAACTTGCCGGTGGACGAGGCAGAGAACTTTGGCCACAGACACGTGGTGGAGTATCTGACCAACTGGGCGGCCAAGGCGGATCAACCGGACGAGTGCAAGAATGAGGCGGTCACCTCCAAGACGCAAGCGGATGAGGTGAGTTTATGTTCGCATTCGGTTTCAAGTTCAATTATTGGTTCAGGGAAAATTCTAATCCGAAAACGAGATCCTCCTAATCCATAGCAAGCTCTGTCTAAATTCCTATCTCACTTTTCAGGAAATTGTTAGCACCAGCGACCTGGAGACCAGTCCGGCCACCAGTCCCGCTGCCACACCCGTGGAGTCGGGCTCCAGGGCTGGATCCGGGAGGTCTAGTCCGGCGCCATCGGAGGCGGGCAGCACGGCGAGCGCCGGGAGTGGCAGCAGCGTCGACGACAAGACCAAGCCAGGCCTCTAAGCGGCTGAAGTTTCAGAGTTCCGGATGCGCAGGATCCCCCGTTGAATCTCTCCGACTAAATTATTCGCACAACACTTTAGTTTACACCTATGACGTCTTATTAGATTAAATGTATAATTATATAATATAAATTTATAATTTGTAGTGGCATTTGTACTTGTACTTGTAGCTCCTAGTTAGCATCAAATATTCCAGGATATCCTACGAAACAATGACAATAATCTTACGAATATCTAACCCACACAAATGGGGTCTGTGACCCGCCTAAGAAATGTATTGCATTCATACTTGTCAATTGATATTTGTGTGTGTGTTTAAGTGTGTTTGTACAATGTATTAATTATCCTGTTCCAATGAGCCGAGCAGTGTGCTGGCAGCCTCGGTTATAGTTGAATATAAATAATATACACAAATATATATATATGTACATAGTTAGCTGACAAAACCCAAATTGCATATCTTTTATTAAATATACAAAAGTATAAAACGATGGGTAAATTAATGTATTTATGGCATAGTTATGAGTTTTTTTGATTCAAAGAATGCAAATAATTTAAACTTAGTTTTGATCGATTTCCAATTCGAATACTTGAAAGGAATATAAACCTTGGCCTCTCAAAAAATGTTTACGTTCTTTCTTTTCTCTATACCATAAATACAAACAGAATTAAGGGTTTTCCGGAGAATATTTAATAAGAAACCAGGTCACAATTATATCAAACATTTAAGTTTGTAAGCATTATAAAGACATTCTTCTGTACAATAACTTTCTACCCAACTCTACTCGAATCTACAGTGTAGAAACTGTAAAACCGACAGCTTTTTACATCGGCTTTAGTTTCCCGACTGTGGTGGAAGTCACACGAAATGGATGTGGATGTCGCACCGCCCACAATTTCCCCGCTCCTCGAACTAAAGTTCCGTATTGTCGTCGTGTTTTTGTGGTCGTCGGCGAACGTTGGATTTCCCAGTGCCATATATGTAGCTCTACAGTTCAGTTCGTTCGCAGCATTCGTGGAGTTCGGACCTCAGCCAGAGCTGCTCCTCCTCTGCCATAGTCAGTGTGCGTGTGTGCCGGTCTGTTTGCGGAGTTTCCACCGCATCCATCACGCTCCTCTTCACGTCCAGCTCCTCCGGAGGGATGCAGCAGATGCAGATGCAGATGCAGTCGTGCAGCTCGTGCCCGGGCAGATGAATTAATTGTGGAAAATAGTTAAATTCCAGCTCGTTGAAGCGGCAACAAATCCAATTAAGCATATACACCATTTAGTGGCGAGTTGTGCATAATTGAGTAATTAAGTTTCATAGAAAAGGGTTTTTAAAACACCGTCGCCGCACACAGACACGCCGCAGCAACTTGGGGTAGGTTCAGAACGTTCGGCAAGGACCGTAAAACGAGAGTGGCAAGAACAACAGCAGCATCATCATTTCCGGATCCGCTTTTCCACTCTATAATACAGGCTTTTGTGTGATTGTGCTGGTGTTTGTGCTGCTTGCTCATAAGAGTTCATAAACCACTAAACAGAGGACAGCCCGAAATCGGATTATTAAGTCTCCTCCTTGGTCGGCCTCCTGGGTTGTCCGCAAAAAAGGATGTCTATTGTGGAGCGAACATCCTTCCCCGGAAACCGCTCCTATTATTGACAATCTCGCTGCACAAGTCGCTGCATATCCGGGCCCTCGAAATATTCGGGGGCCCTTCTCCTTTGTGAGTGGATTTTTGGCCGCTCGCTTTGTTTGTTTGTTTTCTCCATTTGGCGCAGATACGGGCAGCGTCAGCATCTGTGGGATTGCATAATGTCCAGCTTCCTATCCAGCCTCTCTAGCTCTCCAGAAAAGTAGCCCACAGCGATTGCAGCTTGGGAATTGGGTCTGCACTCAGGAAAAGCAAAGATTTGGAAACACATTCTAGTCTTGAAAATGGGTTGCAGTTGTGAAAGTTTAGATAATAATGGAACATTTTGGAGTTTTACTAAAATGTTGGATTAATTCTGTCCCTTTCATCAAAGGAAATTAATTATAGTTATTCTTAAAACGATATGCAAATGACCTGGAAGGAGTTAGGGAGATCTAAACATGTCTAAACCTAGAAATATCAAGCTAAATCCTAATCATATATATAGTTAACAGTTAATATTTTAGCATTTATTTAGACTCTTATCTTGGCTTAAGTTCTTAAGAACTTTGTTAGAAAATAACAATATCCTCTTCTCCATTATTTCCTTCTGTTTTGTTGCGTTCAAACTACTATCAATCTATCAATTAAAGAACATTTGTGCTTCCAACTTAAACTAAGTAAGCTTCCCTGATTCTAATCTTTATTAAACCTATCATTCCAAATCTCCATTTTGGAGCATTTCTCCCTCTGCATTCCAAAAATGGAAAATAAATGACAGAGTCAGACCGATGGCAATCAAAACAGAACCGAATGCACCCACAGTGGGAAACTTGTCTCCGTCTCATTGGCTAATAATACCCCGCAGTCGGTTCCTCTATAATCAGCATAATCCAGTCGAATGGGGGGAGTAAACTCACCTCCCCACATCCCCTTGTAGTCCGTGGGAACTGGACACATGTGGGGGCTACCGGGTGCTGGCAGTGGGCTATGTAAACAATTCGCAGGAGTATTTCCAATGGGACAAGGGTTTGGGGGTAACTGGTTGACCGAGCAAAAGGAAGTCGGCTTCGGCATCAGCAAATGCCAGGCATTGATGTGTCCATCAAGTGTCGCCGTGTCCGTCTCTGTCTCCGCCTTGGGTTCAATGAACTGCCGGAGGAACTAGAACGTCCGATAATAATTGATGGGGCGATAAATGGGAGAAAGAGAGGTAGAAGGGAACCCCCCACACACATCCCAAGTATCTGAAGTATTTTGAAGTATCTGGAGATGGAGCTGGAGCTGGAGTATCTGCGACTTGACAGGGACATGGTGAATCGGAAATTGGCGCTCTCTATCTCTGTGCAGAACGCATTCGGACGTGTGATGGGCCAATTTCACACATGGCAGAGGCGGAAAGAAGTGCTCGCAAAGAGCCAAGAACCCAAACAGAGTGCGAGCCAAGTGCAATGCCCCGGACTTCAGTTGACGCTGCACTTTTGCCACCTTATGCTGCAGTCAGTCGCCAAAAATAAAAGCCGAAAGCCAAAAGCCATTTCCACTTCCCATCTTCCACTTCCCCCAAAACACATACATATATGAGAGGCGGCTTCCCCGCTCATTATGTTTGGTTTCTGTGAGTTTGTGGGGGAAAGTACATGGCCCCCATCCAGACTCCGCGACTCTCCCCATTCCCATTCCCATTCCCATTCCCATTCTCTGTCCAAATACAAAATGCACACATGCAGACGTAATGAAAACTGGCATATAGCGGCGCCGCTATTCATCACCAGATGGGATTTACACCCTCTCCGGGATCCATGGAGGAGCACGACTCTTGCTCTGCTCTGGTCTGCTGTTGTTCTCTCTATTAAAATGCCACATTTAAATGCCGAGCCTCATAAATGTTTCCCTCTCATCCTTCTCACTCAACCACACCGACAGCCAAAGGAACAGCGGCATCAAAATTGATTGCTTTCGCATGGACACGAACTCGGTGAGCCCATTGCCACCGATGGAGGAGGCTATGGACAGGGTCAGCGAGAAGTCACCGCCAGGAACACCCAATGGCATTGAGATGCCACCGCCGCCTGATGAAAAGTGAGTACATCTATGTTTCGTATATATTTATTAGGGTTTTATTTGGTGTTAAAGTGATAATGCTAGCCCATTATTTTATATCTGAAACATCACAAAAACAAGAAGCAAAAAACAAACCAACTTTGGGAAATCGAAGTTTATATACCCTAGCAATTTGATCATTGAAATCAACATCGCTCAGGCAAATATACATTAAATTCAATTCGGAAAGCTTTTTAATGCCAGTTTTCAATTAATTAACAAATCAGTTTACAGAGTTTTAAAATGTAAAACATTCAATTTTATGTCAAATTTAGAATATAATAAATATGGTTTATAGGGTCGGATATGACTCCTTTAGATACTCCTTTTGGAGCATACCTCTTAAGACTTTATTTCAATTAATAATTAAGATAACTTTGTTATTTATTTATCCCTATCTCCAAAGTCTTCCGAAGACAACAGCTGTGCTTTTGATTTTATTTTAATTTTTCCAATCAATCCCCTGACTGCTCAAAAAGCATCAACTAATCAACACAATTTAGTCAGCAGCTATTCCCCGACACAATTTTGTTTATCAATATTTAAGTAAATTGTGTCACTTTGGAATGGCAAATTCGAGGCAGTCCAGGCACAGACACAGAACCATTTCCCCGGTGGCCAATTTGGAGCTGTCTCTCTCTCCCGTCTAGCCGGCAATTGGCCTTGCCCATCTCCGCTTTGCTTATCCGAGCTACCTCCAGCTCAAGTCTTGGATATGAAGAGACTCGGCTGCGCATCCGTAAGTTGTCTTTAATCGATTTTAATGGCACCACGCGGCGTATGTGTAACATTTACATGAACTAGGGAATAGGAATAGGAATAGGAATAGGAAGCGGTCACGTTAGGAAAGGCTAATTAACAATGGGGGGAAAAGTGGGAAAAGCGTCGACGCCTACACACCCTTTTGGAGGAGAGTGAGAGGTACTGACCACAGTTTCGTGGTTATTTTTACGCGCCAATTTCCTAATTCACGTATCTTTGAAAGTCGTAAATTTTATTTTAATGCGACCTCGTCGCAAATCACACAAAACCATCCTCAATGTACATACATCCGCCGTGGTCAGAGTCCATACATTCAACAGTTGATCGCGTGAGGCCTTCACATAGTAACTGGCCGTAAACATTCCGTCCGTAATCCTTCCACGTCCTTGTCCAATTCCTGGCACGCAGCTCGCCCAGTACTAAACCCGCCAAGCTCCAAGTAATTACGGGTATTTTTCTTTGTTTGCCGACAATGACGAGGACTCAACCTTTTCGCCGCCTCGTTTTCATTTCATTTTCATTTGGTTTTCATTTGATTTCCAGTAATTTTTGGGCGCGTTGCCCATCGCAAAACCCACTGGAGCCCAAGGAAAATAGAGCTGGAATAATGACCCAAAAGTCCCTGGCCAGGGTGTGTTTGTTGTCGTCGGCGGGTACTGGGAGTGGGAATAGGAGTTGGAGCCGGACAGGATATATATATAGTGTGCCGGTAATTGGTGACCCAGTACTCTGCCACAAATTAGCGGAAGCCTCAGGTTCCATAAATATTCGATTGATTTCAGGCTGAACTCTCTGCTCTGGCAGGTGTTTTTTGATTGATACGACTTATTTATTATTTACTTATTTATTTATAGTCTATTGTCTATTGACAAACAGGTGGCCCCATTAATTAGTTTCTTAGGGAGTCGTTCTAGGTAGATTTTCATTTGAATTTACGACCATAGAAGTCAGCTGATGATGATCTTGTCTGCCTCTTATCTTATATTTACCCCTATAATCTCAGCAGAGTGACAACCTTTTGGTAGAGAGATTGTTGCATAACCCAAGGTCGCACCCGAGACTAATTAAAAGACGTTAATCAAAGAATTAACACATCTTTAAATTTGTAGCTACCTCTCTGGTTGGTTGAAAGTTTGCTCACTGGTTGTAGTCTGTGATAGGGAAGATCCCCACTCTTTGGTTTGTGTCTCTGCTGTGCCCGCTGAAGAGCCGTTCGTGTCTCCGCTAAATTGTCGTTATTAACTATTTGGATGGATGCCCAGCAAGTTGGCATGGCGCCCGCAGTTCCAGAAAGCTTCGAGCTGAAAATTGAAATTAATTTTCAGTTGTCTCTGGCCTATCGTCGCGATCTGATCGTGGAATATATCACTCTCTCTCTGAATTCAATTGAGGATTCTTCGGGCGGCATTTGAATAGCGTTTGTTTGTGTTAGTTTGGTGCGTTGTCTATAAAACAAAAGGAGCAATATAAACAAAACATAAATAAAAAATACGAAAAGCGCTCTTTTATATATTCAAAGTGCTTTGTTTATAGTGAAACTAGTGTGTGTCTGTCAAGATTTTTGATGCATCTTGCGGTTTTTACAGAGTTTCTTTCACTTGGAAACAGAGAGTTATTCGAAATTTGCATCTGTAGAAATCGCCTTAATTAAATTCGATGTGAACTTGCGGCCCCGTGAGCACACATGAATAAATAACGAACCGAATCCGTCACTGTTTTGGGATCGTGTGATTGACAAATTAACGCAGTTTGATTAGCATCTCTATTCCAATCCAGCTAGATCTATTAGCGATTACCGATCCCAAACGTTTAGATTCTGTCGGTTCTCAATTGTCTCTATCTCCCGATTGTGGCATTTTTACAGAATCCAAAGCCGAAGCCTAATTACCACAGACACTCTATACATAAACGACCTTTAGTCGTTCGATATACATATATATTTAGAGCTATATAGCACCGATCTCTGACGCACCGCCCAGCGATTCTACGTATAGTGGGTGGCGGTGACAGAAAAAGCGGAAAAACCTCAACGAATTTCGGCCCAAATAGCAACACTTGACTAAATGCGTGATCGCCACTTGGCCAAAATGCCGCGTGGAGGAACGACAACAACGTAAGTTCTATATAAAATTACAAATAATAATATCAGCTGACAAAGTACGTTCGGAAATTGTAATGGAAAAGTAAAGAATAATCAAGGTAGATAGATTTCGACATTAAATATGGATCTAATTCATCTCCTAATTCAAATTAATGGCAAAAAAAGGAATATTTGACTAACGTTAAGATCTTCTATTAAATATTCTTCTAAAAAGTACTTTAAATGGTCTTTAGGATCATCTATCGTCATTGATGTTCATTGTTCACCTTGTTGTCTTTTCTTATTTACTTAATTTAAACAATTGCGGCTTACGGAGAAAAGTTCTGCGATCTCTCGTATTAGGTTGTCGTAGCGCGAATTCGATTGTGCGAGTATCTGGCAGATACAATTTCAATTTCGTGCATGTTTGTGTATGTATCGTTCGGATTATGCGATCCGAGCCGAACACTCCCTCGAGATCGCCTCAATTGAATGCGCCACGACATCGAAGTCGTTCTCTAAACAATTCCCGGGCATTGTAAGGCAACACCATGTCGGAGGAGAGGAACACGGAGACCGACCACCACAATAACATATAGTCCCCGTACATCTTCATAATTAACCCGCAGGATGCGGACGCAGTGATGTGTGTACACTAATACAAATTGGAAACTTAAATTATATATATCGTAAATAAAAAATAAGGGAAGATTTAACTTACAGATTACTCTTGTGAGACATACAACATAGGATTTATGGTATTAGCTTTGATTCTTTTTGAAAACTTTTCGTTTTTTGGCACTACTCTCTCATTACGATTCAGTATTTAAATGAATACTTATTTCTTTCGGTGTACCAGTGAGTTTGGTTAATTTTCAGCCATGCGTGCGACAGCAAATGATTTAATTTCCTCGATCCGATCCGCAGACTTTTAATTGTACATTCCGCGTCGGCTCGTCGTTGGTTACATCTCTGATGGCTTCCTTAATTGAGTAGTGCCCTGGCTTCCTGCTGCGATTTCTTTCCAACTTCATACTTCTTACTTCAGTTAGCAGAGTGCTCTAGTTTTTCTTTGTCCAAGTTATGAGCGTAATTAGCCTGCTTTAAGGTCGCCGTTTATCTAAGTTCTTGCTTCCCTATTATCAGATTAGTTCCAGCATTTCTTGTTGATCTATTCTCACGGAGACAAGTGGATGCCATGGTCATCTCACGGAGCCCGCCTGTCACATGACTGCGATAAGCGAGTAACCAAATTTTAGCCAAAGCCCGAGGAGAGTTTCCTTATCTGTAGATAAGAAGCTAGACAGGGAGAAATGTATTATTTAGAACTTGATTTAAGCAGAATCAAGACATGCTTTTTAAATATTTAAACAGAAATATTCACCTCATATCTTAGTCTTATGTATTTTATTCAGTTCAATAAATTACACAAGATAAGAACTACACAAGAAACTAACTTCGGGAAGCTTTTTTTTCCTGAATTATTAAATTAAATCGGAATCAAATCGAATCCTTGAAACAATATCGATACGTTTATATTACTAAGCCAAAAAAGCATTAATTTTAATTCGGAAAGCATTTCTATGTTAGTTTTTACTAGGTCAATAAATCTGTATACTCAATTAAAAATTTAAAAAAATCAATATTTGTATACAATTTTGAAAATTTTAACGATGTAACCCCTTATAAAATTTTAAAATTTTTATTTGATTATTTAATTTTTAGGGTCGGAAATGACTCCTTCACATATAATACTCTTACAAACATTTGCCTAGAAACATTTTCTTGGGCAACTCTCATGGCGATTTATGTTTTAATTTAACACAGAAAGCTTTTGGGTATTTCCCAGCAATAACTGACTAACCTGACTATCTTTAATTATAAATTAAATAAAAGAAGACAAGATTCAAATTGACTTAAATAATCCCCAAATATTTCCTGATTGCTACTTACATTTATCACTTTAAATCAAACATTTTGCATGAAGCATTGAGCCATGACAAATCCTCGCACGGCTCACTGTAGTTTGAATTTGCATTTAATAAATGGCTTTAGGAATTTGCAGATTACGCTGACACAGCGCTGCGCTTTCTCTGTTTATTTTTCATCGCATTTGCAGTGGGTGCCACTGCCACAGCCGAGTCAATAGCCTTTCTCCGCCGCGATGACCCATTAGCCATGAGTCGCTGCACCCAGACCAGCTCCCGCTCCCGCTTCAGCCTTAGCTTCTGCTTCAGCTTTGGCTCTAACTCAGACAGGGACTGGGATTGAGGTTCAGGTTCAGGTTCGAATAGCCCAAACAGGTGGCGGCTACGGCAGCCAAATAAACGAGTTTTCCATAAAACGTAAAAGCTTTTAGCGAAAATTTCTCAGCAAATGAAAAGTGAAAGAGATACAAATGCACCGCCTAGATACAGATACAGCTACAGCAAAAGCTATGGCTATGGCTACAAATACAGATGCTGATACAGATACAGATGCACCCGTTCGTGGGCTTGTTTTCCAACAATCTGCGGCAAGTGAAATGTGTGTTAAAGCAAACAGCCACTGTAGCCTAGCGGTGCCCCAACTCCACCGCAGCCCTCTCTCCTCCGTCCTATCCCCAACCCCGTTCTCCCTGCAATGTGTTGATAGCTAAATGCCTGCCCCAACCGCACTCCCAGACGCAGACACAGCTGCAGCCACACATGCATCCACATCCATTGCGGCGGAGGAGCTGATGTTGTGGCAGCCGCCGTTCATTGACATCGCCATTGGTCTGCACATACAAAAAAAGCATGATCAATTTGCATCTCCTCAAAATATCTTGTTAAAACTTATTGCTGAGGAAATTGAAACAATTAATTTTAATCACCTTCGAGTGGGTTTCATTTTTAATTTGATATTTTAAAACCATAAATGAAGGGACTTTGAAGACAGACATTTTTTCTTCGGGTGCATCTGCTCCCCAATCACACTCCGAGGTATCTGATGCTCTCGGTGGATCATATCGCCTGTAAATTGGAGCACCCAATGGCATTATCTTCGCTGTGATGCAAGTGTCGCTACTCCGAGAAAGCGAGAGTGCCACGATAATGACAGTAGTTAGTTTGAGGCTGGTAATTCGATTCACTCTTGCTTTCATTATCACAGCGTGGGGCAGCGGCTCGCACTATTAATTTAAATAATAGCTTTGTTTACTCTCTCGATGCACGTAAGTACATATGTATGTATGTATGTACATTGTTGCACCAGCAGGCAGCATCGAGCGGATTTCCGACGAAGACAAGGAGCTGCACTTGGCGATGATTAGGCGGCTCGTTGGTGGCCAGCAATGCGCCTAATTGCTGGTGGTTTCTACTCCAGTTTCGTCTGTCTGTTTGCCTGTTTACTCTCGTCAGATCAACAGATGGCCTTTGGGTATCCGTGGGATTTCTCCCAGCTCCCCACCCTCCCCCAAAAAAAAAGCTGCTCTGTACCGATGATGGATGGGTAACTTCAGTGGCCGTATTTCGGATGGTGAGATCATTGTGCTCTCCATCCATCGAAAATGGATGTCATACGATCGCACACGACAAGTGATGAAATTAATATGACAGACAGCCGGCAATTGGGTGGAAACAATACGCCGCTTTTGGACTCCACACCCTGGTACGATCGGGGGAGTCATAGCTCCAGTTGTCAAGAATTCAGTTTACAATATCCTATAATACAAACACCAATGGAGACGGACTCGAAGTCGGATCTGAAGCGGAAAGTCAAGGAAAAGTGGAACATTCTGTACTCGAATTTGTTGGAGAAGCCATCGCCAAAGTACGGAGTGCTGAACCCTTTGAATCTGAGCTAATCCAAATCACGGGAGTATACACAATTTTCCTAGCAAATTAGATAATTGCTCTGGTCTTCTCAGATCCTCTGGGCTTCCACTTGATCGTCCGTCCGTCTGTTGTCTATCAATTAAGACGATTAGCAGCACATTCAACCCACAATTAGTCTAGTCGAATCTTTTAGGGAATCTTGTAGGGAATCTCTAGAGGAGGAATCTCCAGCGGAATCTCCATAATTCCATCATAAATTGTGCTTAATGAGGGACAGCCCACATCCATATGGCTTTGTGCTTGGATTAGCTCAGAGTTCGTTAGTGTGTGTACATAAATCGAAATGTCTTGTTAAACGAAAGATAATATATGGGATTCTTATGCCATATATCATAGTTTTCAGAACTATGAACTCCATTGATGGACCCTTTATTGACGAACTCAACCGCCTGCTCCTTCGTCCGCCCAAATTTATGAGAAGGAGAAAGTAACTGCTTCCGATTCCATATTCTATATGTATTCTGTATTTCCTGTGCTCCCATCTCCTTGCAGGCGCTATGAGGAGGATCCGGACAATGCCTGGAACTGCTGCTCGTGGTGCGAGTACTTGCTGATCGTCATCCTGTCCACGATCCTGCTGGTGGGCGTCCTCGTGCTGACCCTCTTCTGGGTGATGTTCTATCGCGATGGCTTCGCCTGGTCGGAGAGTCCCAAGCAGCAGTTCAATCTCCATCCCATCTTGATGATTGCCGGCTTCGTGACGCTCTCTGGATTTTGTAAGTTGAAAAGCCATTGTTTTGGATGCAATTATCTGTATGGATTCATTATTATTTTACAGCCATCTTGATCTACCGCCTGTGCCGGTGCGTGAAACACATCTACGTGAAGCTCATCCACATGTTCTTCCATGCCGTGGCCATTCCGTGCATCGCCCTCGGTTTCCTCTCCGTCTTTGACTCCCACGAGGCGTTGCAAAAGGTCAACTTCTACAGCCTCCACTCGTGGCTGGGCCTGGTGACAATGGGCATGTTTGTGCTCCAGTTCGTGATTGGCTTCTTCAGGTGAGTCTTCTTTTGATTCTGTTTCCCAATCCCGCATACTAATCAGGGGCTTACCATAGCTTTCTGGTGATGCTGTGCTGTGAGAACAAGACCTACAGCTGCCGCTCCGCCATGGTGCCCATCCATGCCAGTCTGGGTCTGGCCAACTTCTGGCTGGCCATTGCCACATCCGTCACGGGATTAATTGAGAAGGAGCGTGAGACTGCCAATGAAACGGGTGTGAGGTAAATAACGACTTAGCGATATTATAAGTTTTAAAATAATAAATAAGTCAGCAATTCAATACAAATTCGTTTATCAAGTCCGGTTACATTCGAATCATCTAAAAAAGAACCATCCATATATGGATTTTCTTGCAAGTCATTTGGCCGAAATTTGGTTAAATTATCTTTAAAAAAATAAATTAAAATCACTTTACTTACCTTTAAAACAGGCCTCTAACTCTTATAGGTAGAGGTAAAAGCATAACTTTTAACTTGAAAACCTTATTAAACTTTTGGTATAAATCCACCTGCAGCTATAGGAGCTATCGGACCAGGTTGGCACAACTTTGGTCTCTAATTTTAAGATATACAACTTTGCTTCTTTTCCTTTTATATCGCCAAGACTCGCATGACTTTTATACATATTTAACTCTCATATAGGAATGCTACGAACTAGCTTTCTCATCCTCTGCATAATATAGCTATGAAATAAATATAGTGCAACCTAGCTTCTATATATTCTTTTTATCCAAGTATATGTAACATTATTTTAATATTTTAATTGAAACCTATTTCCCCTTGCAGCACGGAGAACAAGCTCGTGGAGCATTACATCACCAGTGCCATTGGCATTACACTGATCTTCATTGGTATTATCGTTACCTTTGCCGTGCGGCGGTCCAACGCTCCCGCCTCCGCGAAGGTTTACGTTACCGAGCGCATTTAGGCCCGTCTTGGGGCTCGTCGGAGTCTCCGTCGCCGGAATCGGTCCACGGCCAGGACGGAAAGCGAGTCGCATGTGTATCCGAGGATCGTATGGAGCTCTGCACTGGACCCCGACCCCGAGCCCGACTCCGACAAGGACTCGGGTAGCCGGATCCAGGTCGTCCTATCGCCGGGCTTTACGCACAGAGACCACGCTTCTGCATCTGTATCCGAACCCTTTGTAACCTTTTATATGCCAAATTAAGTCCTCTCCATACACTTAGACTCCGCCAATGGCGCCTATCAAAATCTTAACTCACTTTCAAGTTCTCCGTAGACGCATAGGATTAGGAATCTCAGAAAAGAGCCGACCAAGCAAGCAAATCTAATCAAAATTGAAGTGTTCAGCCGAACTTACTGCTGGCGTTCAGCACCCACACGCATGATTATCCAGTTTTTTCGGTACTATAGTAGAATTTTGATATAAGCCCATGTTACTAGCGTAAGTGTATCGTATCTATCAGGGGACAGACTCACAGAAATCGCTGGAGAGAGACGATTGCGAGGAAGCCAATCTAGGGGTATCTTGAGAGCTCCCAAGCCAGAGATTCGTGTGCGTCCCCTGAATTAACCTTACCACATAGCGCATTAAATGTACCCACTCGGACTCAAGCTGTCGCATTTGATGTTGTTTATAATCGTTCAAGTACTTGTATTTCATAATGCGCTAAGCAATATAAGCTGTAAACCAATTTTACAAACAAATAATAAACGATAATTTGCCCTGTCTGAGGGGTTTCATAATACAACCCTTCCTTCTGTTTTTATCGGAGGCGAAAAAGCGCAAACACATCTACAGAAATTGTAGAAATTAATAATATTTATGCGCTTATATAATCGAAGTAAGTTTTAACAAACAGTAAACATCTAAAAATTAATAAACGTCGCATAGAATAGTATACAACTTTTGGCAATCGTCGGCGTTTTGGACATTTTATGACGTTGAGAAAACCGGGAATTTTGCGTCTTTCCATACATATTTACGTTTGTTTTTATACCCTTGCAGGGTATTATAATTTCAGTCAGAAGTTTGCAACGCAGTGAAGGAGGCACCTCCGATCATATAAAGTATATATATTCTTGATCCGGACCAATAGCCGAGTCGATCTAGCCATGTCCGTCTGTCCGTCTGTCCTTCTGTCCGTCTGTCCGTTTCTACGGAAACTAGTCTCTCAGTTTTGAAGCTATCTGAATGTAACTTTGTAGTTAGCCTTCTATATACTCTCACTCGTATATAAGTCGGAACGGGCCAGATCGGATGTCTATATCATATAGCTGCCATAGGAATGATCGGAAAATTTTTACAACAAAAAATTATAATATTTTCAGTTTTCAGCAGAATTTGATCAAATTTGAGATATAGTCATTTTATTATACTCTACAATTTTGTGTAAAATTTTATTAATATCAGACTACTATATCATATAGCTCCCATAGGAACTATCGAGCAATTATTACAATTAATAATTATAATATTTTTAGTTTTCAATAAATTTTTATTTAATTTGAGGTATAGCCATTTTATATTAGTCTTAAATTTAGGTGAATGAAATGAAATCAGGTATTACTTCATTGTTTTATAACATAAGTATATATAATTAATATTGTATGGATTCCTAGTCATCGAAGTTCTATCTGCAAGGGTATATAAACTTCGGCGTGCCGAAGTAAGCTTCCTTTCTTGTTATATATTAATTTTTATAAATCAAAGTTTGCAAATGCCATAACTAAGATTTATGTATGAAGATTTATTTCCCTCATCAAAACTATCACAGGACAGTTTGCCGATTTTAAATTAATGCATTTTTGGCTTAGTTATGGAATTTTTAAACTTTGATTGGTATAAAAAATAATATAAACACAAACGTAAATATCAATGAAAAAGTGCAAATTTGCCCGTTTTCTGAAGACCATAAAATGGGCAAAAGGCCTATGATTGCCACAATTCGTATACTCTTCGATTCGTCATTAAAATTCTAGTTAGCTAATAACAGAAAGTTGAGAGATACAACTTTGATTTGTATGAAAAATAATATAGAACAACAAACGTAAATATCTATGGAAAAATGCAAATTAGCCCATTTTCTGAACGCCATAAAATGGCCAAAAAGCCTATGATTTCCAAAAATCATATACTTTCCGATTCGCCATGAAAATCCTAGTTAACTAATAACAAAAACATAAGAAAAAGAATTTTGAAAATTTTAGCCAATTTTTGAGAATTTTAAAAGGGGTTACATTATTAAAATGTTCAAAAATTGGCAAAAAAAATTCATTTCTTATCTTTTTAAATTTGGTATGCAGATTTATTTCCCTCATCAAAACTATCACAGGACAGCTTTCCGATTTGAAATTAATGCATTTTTGGCTTAGTTATGGAATTTTTAAACTTTGATTGGTATAAAAATAATATAAACACAAAAGTAAATATCTATGAAAAAGTGCAAATTTGCCCGTTTTCTGAAGACCATAAAATGGGCAAAAGGCCTATGATTGCCACAATTCGTATACCCTCCGATTTGTCATGAAAATTCTAGTTAGCTAATAACAGAAAGTTGAGAGATACAACTTTGATTTGTATGAAAAATAATATAGAACAACAAACGTAAATATCTATGGAAAAATGCAAATTAGCCCAATTTCTGAACGCCATAAAATGGCCAAAAAGCCTATGATTGCCAAAAATCGTATACTTTCCGATTCGCCATGAAAATCCTAGTTAACTTATAACAAAAACATAAGAAAAAGAATTTTGAAAATTTTAGCCAATTTTTGAGAATTTTAAAAGGGGTTACATCATTAAAATGTTCGAAAATTGGCAAAAAATTTCATTTTTTATCGTTTTAAATTTGGAATGCAGATGTATTTCCCTCATCAAAACTATCACAGGACAGCTTTCCGATTTGAAATTAATGCATTTTTGGCTTAGTTATGGAATTTTTAAACTTTGACTGGTATAAAAAATAATATAAACACAAACGTAAATATCTATGAAAAAGTGCAAATTTGCCCGTTTTCCGAAGACCATTAAATGGGCAAAAAGCCTATGATTGCCACAATTCGTATACCCTCCGATTCGTCATCAAAATTCTAGTTAGGTAATAACAGAAAGTTGAGAGATACAACTTTGATTTGTATGAAAAATAATATAGAACAACAAACGTAAATATCTATGGAAAAATGCAAATTAGCCCATTTTCTGAACGCCATAAAATGGCCAAAAAGCCTATGATTTCCAAAAATCGTATACTTTCCGATTCGCCATGAAAATCCTAGTTAACTAATAACAAAAACATAAGAAAAAGAATTTTGAAAATTTTAGCCAATTTTTGAGAATTTTAAAAGGGGTTACATTATTAAAATGTTCAAAAATTGGCAAAAAAAATTCATTTCTTATCTTTTTAAATTTGGTATGCAGATTTATTTCCCTCATCAAAACTATCACAGGACAGCTTTCCGATTTGAAATTAATGCATTTTTGGCTTAGTTATGGAATTTTTAAACTTTGATTGGTATAAAAAATAATATAAACACAAAAGTAAATATCTATGAAAAAGTGCAAATTTGCCCGTTTTCCGAAGACCATAAAATGGGCAAAAAGCCTATGATTGCCACAATTCGTATACCCTCCGATTCGTCATCAAAATTCTAGTTAGCTAATAACAGAAAGTTGAGAGATACAACTTTGATTTGTATGAAAAATAATATAGAACAACAAACGTAAATATCTATGGAAAAATGCAAATTAGCCCAATTTCTGAACGCCATAAAATGGCCAAAAAGCCTATGATTGCCAAAAATCGTATACTTTCCGATTCGCCATGAAAATCCTAGTTAACTTATAACAAAAACATAAGAAAAAGAATTTTGAAAATTTTAGCCAATTTTTGAGAATTTTAAAAGGGGTTACATCATTAAAATGTTCGAAAATTGGCAAAAATTTCATTTTTTATCTTTTTAAATTTGGTATGCAGATTTATTTCCCTCATCAAAACTATCACAGGACAGCTTTCCGATTTGAAATTAATGCATTTTTGGCTTAGTTATGGAATTTTAAACTTTGATTGGTATAAAAATAATATAAACACAAACGTAAATATCTATGAAAAAGTGCAAATTTGCCCGTTTTCCGAAGACCATAAAATGGGCAAAAAGCCTATGATTGCCACAATTCGTATACCCTCCGATTCGTCATCAAAATTCTAGTTAGCTAATAACAGAAAGTTGAGAGATACAACTTTGATTTGTATGAAAAATAATATAGAACATGAAACGTAAATATCTATGGAAAAATGCAAATTAGCCCATTTTCTGAACGCCATAAAATGGCCAAAAAGCCTATGATTGCCAAAAATCGTATACCTTCCGATTCGCCATGAAAATCCTAGTTAACTTATAACAAAAACATAAGAAAAAGAATTTTGAAAATTTTAGCCAATTTTTGAGAATTTTAAAAGGGGTTACATCATTAAAATGTTCGAAAATTGGCAAAAAATTTCATTTTTTATCTTTTTAAATTTGGAATGCAGATTTATTTCCCTCATCAAAACTATCACAGGACAGCTTTCCGATTTGAAATTAATGCATTTTTGGCTTAGTTATGGAATTTTTAAACTTTGATTGGTATAAAAATAATATAAACACAAACGTAAATATCTATGAAAAAGTGCAAATTTGCCCGTTTTCCGAAGACCATAAAATGGGCAAAAAGCCTATGATTGCCACAATTCGTATACCCTCCGATTCGTCATGAAAATTCTAGTTAGCTAATAACAGAAAGTTGAGAGATACAACTTTGATTTGTATGAAAAATAATATAGAACAACAAACGTAAATATCTATGGAAAAATGCAAATTAGCCCATTTTCTGAACGCCATAAAATGGCCAAAAAGCCTATGATTGCCAAAAATCGTATACTTTCCGATTCGCCATGAATATTCTAGTTAACTTATAACAAAACATAAGAAAAAGAATTTTGAAAATTTTAGCCAATTTTTGAGAATTTTTTTTTGAATGAAAAATAATATAGAACAACAAACGTAAATATCTATGGAAAAATGCAAATTAGCCCAATTTCTGAACGCCATAAAATGGCCAAAAAGCCTATGATTGCCAAAAATCGTATACTTTCCGATTCGCCATGAAAATCCTAGTTAACTTATAACAAAAACATAAGAAAAAGAATTTTGAAAATTTTAGCCAATTTTTGAGAATTTTAAAAGGGGTTACATCATTAAAATGTTCGAAAATTGGCAAAAAATTTCATTTTTTATCGTTTTAAATTTGGAATGCAGATGTATTTCCCTCATCAAAACTATCACAGGACAGCTTTCCGATTTGAAATTAATGCATTTTTGGCTTAGTTATGGAATTTTTAAACTTTGATTGGTATAAAAAATAATACAAACACAAACGTAAATATCTATGAAAAAGTGCAAATTTGCCCGTTTTCTGAAGACCATAAAATGGGCAAAAGGCCTATGATTGCCACAATTCGTATACTCTTCGATTCGTCATTAAAATTCTAGTTAGCTAATAACAGAAAGTTGAGAGATACAACTTTGATTTGTATGAAAAATAATATAGAACAACAAACGTAAATATCTATGGAAAAATGCAAATTAGCCCATTTTCTGAACGCCATAAAATGGCCAAAAAGCCTATGATTTCCAAAAATCGTATACTTTCCGATTCGCCATGAAAATCCTAGTTAACTAATAACAAAA